AGAGAAGAAGTGCAAATGCCAATATTTTTTTAAAATAATGCATAAAAGATACATTAAATCAATAAAGAAAACATTACACACACTACATACCATGTATTTGACGCACACACGCATGCATACTATTTATTGTCAAACTTTTGTTTCTTGACGTCTGTTGGGCAAATTGAGAATAGATTAAATATTGTTTGTCTTTGTAAATATTTTTTATAATGTAGTCTTGGCGAAATTTGTGATTATAGAAGTATAAAATACAATCATAATAGTGTACAAACTTACAATTCCAATTAATTATAGTCGAATTTCGACTACTGCGGGACCTCTAGTTCTTTTAAATCCATTTTGTGTTTTTGTGGACAATAAATTTTGACTCAATAAAAATATGAGCCGAATAGTGCCATAGTGTAATTACAGCAATTCCATTAATGTGGTCCTGTCGTTAGACATTGCTACCATGTCGAGTGAATTTAAAGGACATATTATTATGAAGTAAATTACTATAATACAGAAACGAGGATAAACGTTTATAAACTAGAAACATATGAACTTCATAAAAACCAGTTCATTTTTAATTGATTTGATATAACAATTATGTCCCCGAAGGACTTCTTAATTGCAACATGATTATGTTTTTGCTAGAGCTCAATCATTTTTATTTTGATAGATCAAACGTGCGATAGACGGAGTGTTTAATTGATGTAATAAAAATATTTTTTCTTACGTTGTTTACACGGAAATATTAGCAAATTTTATACCAGTAAATCAAAATAATGTTTACATGTTTGTCTATGTGTTTCTAAGTCTGATTTGGGGACTATTGTGGTAGACCCAAGAAGATGACGTGCAAGCTGCTTTTCACGCGTCTTTTGTAAGAGTAATATAGCGGAGTATCCCAGGGGTGCCAGCTACCAGCGCGGTCTAAGTGGACTTCGGATAGCCTGCCTGCTATTTCGTTCCAACCTTCCTCTACCTACCATACGAGGCGATGAGTTTTGGCTCCCACAGTTTTGTTGATTCAATTCCGACATGAATCGTCGGTCGGCCCTAATTCAAAAGAAAGTACGGCAGTTTCGCCTTGAAATTAAAAAAAAATACACACACATTGCGGTTGTTGCTTGCACTCCACGAAAGGGGTTTGACATAGTACAGTGGCTGGCACGATTACTGTCACGTAATTTTTCCCCCTTTTTGGTAAAACTAATGATATTTAATATGTCGTTTATAAAAAGCTACACGTATTTATTCTATACTAGCAGCCCGCTCCGGCGCCGCTCGGGTCCTCAACAAAAATGTCAACGATATTTGACGTTATTTTATGTTTTTAAATAAAATTACACTTATTGCGGTAAAACTATAATAGTTAGACATATGCGGTCGCGACACTTTTTGTAAATAATAATTTGTTCTACAAAGTCGTAGTACATTATTTTATTCTATCATCAATAGTTTTCGCAGGGCACGCAATGTAAAGAATATTTTAGGAAATTTTTTTACACCTTGGGTTACATTATTGGAGTTTTAATAAGGAACACGAATTTTTTTCAAAAAAGATTATAGCCTATGTCACTCAGGAATAGTGTTCCTTCCAAACAGTGAAAGAATTTTTCAAATCGGCTCAGTAGTTTTGGAGCCTATTCAATCCAACAAACAAACAAATCTTTCCTCTTTATAATATTAGTATAGATTTTTGTTCAGATCATATTTACAATATTCTTGAGACAGGCTAACGATCACGTTAAATCTAAAAATAAATGTAAATAAATATGCGAAACAGCGAAAATAAACCTTGAAAATAATTAATTAAATACTACGGAAGTCTTAATATTCTTACGTATTTGTTTAGAATACGCTATAGCGATTCTGATATTTTTCAGTAATTAATTAAACATTTTAAAGTTAACTTATTTTCATAATCAATTCTCGTCAACCTGGTTGGGGCTGTACACCTTGAAGACATCAATCAATACGACAGAGATAGAAGATCGAGTTATGCTATCAAAGGCAGGAAATCTTAGCGCCTGCGGAAATAACGACATAGAGATTTTTTTTTCTTACCGGACGAGTAGGTGAGCTCACGAGGCTCTAATCTAGTGAACTAGGGAAGATCTTCTATCGAGCCTTATATGAGCTTCGGTCGACAAAAGTTATGTATTGTTTTTCGGAACTTGGATATATATCTAAAGTAACCTTGAAAATTTACTGGTCGTAGGACCTCTTGTGAGTCCGCTCGGGTAGGTACCACCACCCTGCCTATTTCTGCCGTGAAGCAGTAAAGCGTTTCGGTTTGAAGGGTGGGGTAGCCGTTGTAACTATACTGAAATCTTAGAACTTACCTATATCTCAAGGTGGGTGGCGCATTTACGTTGTAGATGTCCATGGGCTCCAGTAACCACTTAACACCAGGTGGGCTGTGAGCCCTTCCACCCATCTAAGCAATAAAAAATATATATATATAGTGAGCGCGATTACTGTTTTTTTTTTTTTTTTATCAAATAATCCTCTGTTTCTATTCTATGATTGTTATCACTTGACGACCTAACGTAATTGATTGCCTTGACGATGCTAAGTATGCAGTTAAGACGCCAACTACCGTGAGTCCGTATTATTCTCAATATCTCAAATCTCTCAAATCATTGTATTTATTAAAACCTAATATTATATCCTGAGTCAGATATGATTTTGGCGATTTAAAAAAAACTGGTTCTGCAACTGATGTTTTTGTCTTTTTATTACCATCGATTATCCTTAACGATTATGAATAATAAGAATTACCATCGAGATCTGAAGAGGAGGTGGTGATTCGATTTAGAATAATATACAACCTTGAAATACACTTGCAGGCTCCACCCACAAATTCACTTTGGTTTTCTTTTAAATCACGCTTTTTTTTCCCTATGCTGATAGCCTTGAGAGGCTATTTCAGCTTCTTCTTGACGTATAGGTCAGCTCACGGGGCTCAAACCGGAGCGTTGCTAACACTGGCCCTAGCAAGAGCAGTGCTTCGCAGAACCTACCACCAGAGAGGAAACCCGACCCATTGAGAAGATCCGGCGAGAAACTCAGTGGGATGTGTCTATAGGTTAATTTACTCGTCGAGCCCTTCGTCACAGGCGACGGGTTCGGCGAGGACGGTGACCGGTGCTTGAAGTACCTAAGCACCGTTAATGGATCGGGAGGATCCGTAATGACGTGCTTAGGGCGACGTCGACTGTTTACCATTCGATCCATAGGATCGGGTATGTAATTACCGGCGGCCACGACAAGAGGGTTTTCATTTCGTGTCACCTTCTCAAAGTGGCGCAATGATGCCGACTGTAGATATGTACTTACTGACTGAGTCAAGCTTCAGGTCAACATGGAGATCCACGTTCCTTAGGAACCATTGTGCTCCAACGGCTATCCTGCAAAAACGTGATTGAATGACTTGAAGTGGTTTCGAGATGGTGCGGCCGCGTGAGCGAACACTACACTTAGGTCATGACGGGGCGTATGCAAGTTTTGTAGAGTGTCACCTTATTACGAAGGAATCGAACGATTACCTCGCTTGAAATCACGCGATGTTTATCCTTTATTGAGAAAGACACTCGTGAAATCAAAGAGAGAGAGAGAAAAAGTGAGAAAGAGAGAAAGAAATCGAGATAAATAGAGAGAGACAAACAGAGATAGAGAGAGAGTCACAAAATAAATAAAAATGCAAAGCCACACTCCCGTTGTCGTCGTCGTGGGGTGACAAACCCCTTATAGCCTTACGGGTACGGAACGGGCCTCGGGACGAACCCCACTCACTGCCCGGCCACGCTACACTCCCAAAAGATTAATTTACTAGTAGCCATTCAAGCTGCATTAACCATCATAATATATATGTTCATAGACAGAAGGTTGCAGGTATTTTATTGCATTGTGATCAGCATGTATTATTTAATTTGTCAAGTAAAAATTCATAAACAAGTATTGAAGTCTTTAAGATGCCATTAAACTTAAAGGTACATTTTTTCGTACATATTATAAAAAGAAACAACATTTTTGAGTCAGTCCAAGTTCAAGATTAGGTTGAACAGATTAGATGAGTAACGTTTACAATTACTCCAGTACTCACGTACCATTGAATTTAGGAGATACTATAATATTATCTCTGATCTGAAACGTCGTTAGCTTGTTGTTTGTATTCATAGTGTGTGCCTTAAGTTAGGACTGAAATAAACAAACAACAGAACGACAGACGAAATATCAGAATATAAAAAAAAAAATTGTCTTTATGCCGCCACTCGCTCTAAAATTATGAATTCTAAATTTCTACTGGAACTATATGAAGAGTGGCTTAAACAAAAACGAACTATTACTCCACGGCGAAAATAGTCAGAGGATATAGCTCTGTTTGGGCTCTCAACATAAGCTGCTTATGCTAAAATATATAGGTAGAAGCCCTCCACAAAGTATACCACACTTCGGACCTGATCAGAGACGCCGTATCTTGAAACCATATTGTTATGCCATACCTATACTGCTTCACCGGTCATCGTTCTCGTCGAACCCGTCGCTTGCGACGAAGGGCTCGACGAGTAAATTAACCCTCAGACAGCCCACTGAATTTCTCGCCGGATCTTCTCAGTGGGTCGCGTTTCCGATCCGATGGTAGATTTTGCGAAGTACGGCTCTTGCTAGGGTTCGTGTTAGCAACGTCATCAGGTTTGAGCCCCGTGAGCTCACCTACTAGTTAAGGCTACACTGATATCAAGGCTCTCAGTTTAAGTAGGGAAAATAAATTTAAAAAAATACTGCTTCAATCTTGGCGCCAGGGATCCCAAATTTCAAGGACTTTCATTTAGCCCGATATAGAAGAAATCCATTCGATACTAATTGTTTCTAGCGTAAATAAGTCTACCAGACTTTCCATATTGAGTGTTCTGATAAATCACTCGTTTAGTATTACTCCGCTTGGTACTGTCCGTCATTATTAGAATATCCAAAACTAAATCGATTTCTTTATTTAAATTTTGTTACAGGAAACAAAACAATACTAAAAGGAATATCGGGGCTGTTCAAATCCGGTGAGCTGACAGCCATAATGGGTCCATCCGGAGCCGGGAAGTCTTCACTCATGAACGCTCTCACTGGTTTCTCGTAAGTATCAAACCCAATTCGAGATTCGTCTCCGCCTTGGCTTGACCACGCTTTACCTTGTGTTAGGATTCTATTTTCAGTATCTTGCCCGCACGATAAGTTACTACCATCCTTTATTCCAGTGCAGTTTAAGCTTGGAGATCACTTTTTATAGTGGCGGTTGCAGTCACCTCGTGTCGTCTAAATTTAATTACTTTATTCGCAGCAGGCTGCTGATATCATAAGTTCGTGTACACAGGCTCTACCATCAGCTTTTTTTTTATTGCCCTTGTAGGCAGACGAGCATACGGCCCACCTGATGGTGATTGGTTACCGTCGCCCATGGACTTCAGCAATGCCCGGGACAGAGCCAAGCTGCTGCCTACCGCTAAAAACTTGATTGATATTGAACTTATATAAAAGCTTATATTAAGAGTATCTTAGATGAGTTTGCGAGCAAGCCGAGTAATAGTGAGTAGACTTTTTGGCAACAAAGTAGACCTACTAGTAGACCTTTTTTTGTCGGGCAAGGAGCTGAACCTCCTACATGATTTCTACGCCTAGAGACCACGCGAGGTATGTGGGATTTGACGGTCTGCAGATGTTGGGAGCAGACCGCGGACCCAAGGATATTTTTGGGGCTCTACCGCACCAAACAACTCCTCTTGCACTGTCTCCACCCAACGTTCGGTTCCCCGGTCAACACTACAACCAGACTCGCTGCGCCACTCCGACGACCCCAATAGCCGTCCCATGACCCGTCAGTCGGATACTGACGGGTCGTGGCGGCCATTGTCGACGACCAATGACACCAGTCTCCGCGGTACAGTGGCCCGTCAGGCCGAAGTCTACTAATAGACTTCAGTTTATTTTGTGGCGTAAAAATACTACTAAGTTAAGTAAGTTAATGTTTGGTGCCTTGGATAAAACTGAAGTTATCGCAAAATATATTTTTTTTTTGATACAAAGATAAAAATTATTCTGGGTGTATTTTTTTTTTAAATCTGATAAATTTCAATAATGTGTATCACTAAAATTCTGTAGCAGCCATACCGTAGCCGGATTTCAGTAATTGAAAATAACTCTCGCTTTCAGGACAAAAGGCGTAACGGGAAGGATTCGCGCCGGAGACTGTCTCTGCGAGCTACGCATGTGGATGAATTCACCTCTCGTCTCTCGGAATTTAGGCTCTCTAAAGGAGTACCGGAAGAAATCCTGCTACATACTCCAGGACGACCGGTTGAACCCTCTCTTCACGGTCAACGAACTAATGACTTTCGCGGCAGACATGAAACTTGGAAATACTCTGAACGATAAAACAAAACTTGGAGTTGTAAGTACTTTTATTTTTAGTAAGTATGTACTATTCTTTTTTATGCAAATTTAAAATAATAGCGTATATCCATGTAGACAGCATTCCAGTATTGATCTGGAATTGTAAAAGTTTGGACCATTACCAATAATGCGGGCAACACTACCAAGTTTTCTTGATTCGATATTCGATATATTCGTGATTCGATACAACATGTAGTGGCATCCTTCTGCGAATTGAAGAAATCCGATAAAAACCCAAAACACCCTAAAATATATTTCAACAAATCTTACGACACAAAAACAAAATAGTAAACCATATACTCCCCTGGATATCGTAAAGGGCGACTAACGAGTACACCAGTGAGTGGGCAGCATCGTTTTCTGGGTGTTTTTTGGTAGAACGTAATATAAGCCCGCACATATATTATAGGTACCCCCACTTCGCTTAGATTATGCCATGAATTAATAATACCGTACGATTGTGATGCTAATTACGTAACTTAAGTTTTTCTTTACTTAAAACACTTTAGACTAGTGTGGATAGCATTGAATTATTTAAGTTTTGATGTGATGTTGAAAGTGATGTGTCAATGAATCATTGTTTTTCAATACTTTATGCATATAGCTTATTGCATTTTCTTATTTATCATTTGCGACCATTAGTTTAACATTATTTGCGAAGATTTAAATTAATAATATGTCGAGCTTCGTCCAGTAACGACTATCTATTATGATAAAGTACCACACATTTTGAAGTCATCGTGGCCTAAAGGATAAGACGTCCGGTACATTTGTATGTAGAGAGGCACCGATGTTCGAATCCCGCAGGCGGGTACCAATTTTTCTAATGAAATACGTACTCAACAAATGTTCACGATTGACTTCCACGGTGAAGGAATAACATTGTGTAATAAAAATCAAACCCGCAAAATTATAATTTGTGTAATAACTGTGAGCTCACAGTTGCTGTGGCTGTGAGCTCGTCCATCCATCTATGCAATAAAAAAAAACACATTTTAATGATATAAAATATTAGTTTATTGAAATTGATGGAGACTATCATTGATCTGTTGGTCATAATAATAAAATGTATGTTTTTTAAGTACATATTTACGCACATACTTATTGGCGAGTCGTACATATAATTAAAACTGTCTTGTGTTTTTTTTTTCATTATATTTATTCAAGGACAACGAAGTCGACATCTGAACGTTTTGAACGAGTTAAAACGAAATACAATCGCGATATTAAAACCCTTATGGAGTATCAATAATGATTATTTTTAAATTAACTATAAAAAGACAATTCGAAGTTGATTTCAAGCACACAAGTACCACTCCACAAATACTTATAACCTTCATCAACATGAACAAGAATGAACTGGCACATGAATTGAAAACCAATAATTAATAAAGGTTTACAACAATAACCTTGCTTTTTATAAAATACTAGCTGACCCGGCAGACTTCGTAGTGCCTCAATCGATAAATAAAAGACCGACGGGGGACACATCAAAGGAAAAACAAAATTGTTATTTTTATTTGATTCCGAGCATTTTCATATTTATCTACCTTTTAAACCTTCTCTGGACTTCCACAAATAATTCAAGACCAAAATTAGCCAATTCGGTTCAGCCGTTCTAGAGTTTTAGCGAGACTAACGAACAGCAATTCATTTTTATATATAGAGACTAGCTGAGTCCCGCGATGCTACCCGCGGTTATTGTCGTACCGCGGGTGACGCCGCGGGGTGAAGTTAGTCTAAAAACGTAGCCTAAGCTACTCCATATATCACCAGCTACCTATCAGTGAAAGTCTCGTCCAAAACGGTCCAGCCGTTCCAGAGATTAGCCGGAACAAACAGACAGACGGACAAACAAAAATTGTATAAAATATTATTTTGATGTACCGTATATACATATATTCAAATTCATCTAGTAAAAGACGGCTATTTCAATATTACAAAGAAACACTCCAATTTTATTTATATGTATAGATGATGTTACATTCTTAAAATCTCGTCCGGGAACAGTATTTTTGTGTTTCATTTTATACAACACGATGAACTTCACATTATGTTAAGGGCACGAGAGTATAAAATAGTTGTAAAATTATTTGAGGTTCGGATTAGTTCTGCTTTATTTTTCATTTTAAAAATATGTATGTATGTATGTGTGATTGTGTTTTCATATATATATTTGTGTGTGTATGTATATGTATATGTGATTGTGTATATATGTACATATATACTTTTTGTGTATGTATTTGTAATTTAGTATAAATTTCATCCCACCTACCACTATTTACTCTGCACTACCTTTTGGTTGACTGGCGGAGAATGCCTTAGGCATTAAGTCCGCCAATGTAAATTTTACATGAAGATAAAATAAATAAATAAAACGATGTTCTCGGCTAATTCTAAGCGCGTATCAACTATTGCGCAACTACATAACAGGTTGGGGAAAAAGTGTTTTCGCATTATACATAGTACGTATGAACTTGTAATAAAATCTCTTTGGCTATACTATATGTATCTGGCTGGTTTTGATCTGCGTTTTGGTATCATTAAAGTTTAAATTTTAAAGAAAATAATTCCAAATTCAAATTAGGAAAATGTATGTTTTTTTTTATTTATTTTTTTATTGCTTAGATGGTTGGACGAGCTCACAGCCCACCTGATGTTAAGTGGTTACTGGAGCCCATGGACATCTACGACGTAAATGCGCCACCCACCTTGAGATATAAGTTCTAAGATCTCAGTATAATTACAACGGCTGCCCCACCCTTCAAACCGAAACGCATTACTGCTTCACGGCAAAAATAGGCAGGGCGGTGGTACCTACCCGCGCGGACTCACAAGAGGTCCTACCACCAGTAAATGAAAATAATGAATTAAATGAAAATAAAGTATATTAAAAAAATGTTGTGAATTTTCTTAAAACTTTTTCCCCACCCTATTATAATACAGACACTAAAACATTAATAATATACAGTCAAACCTGGGTAAGTGAGAACTGGATAAGTAAGAAAACTCTATAAGTGAGAGTAATAGCAAGGACCCGTCATTTTAAGCTCCCAAAACCTCTATTAGCGAGAAACAGAAACCTCTGTAAGAGAGAGTCGTTTTTTCCTCATGGACCTCCGTAAGTGCTACCTATCTATACCTCTATAAGCGACAGCCGAGCTTTATTTATTTATTTATATTATTTAGAAGGAACAAATGTCAAAACAAATTACAAATTTAACATCTGCTATTTTATGACGCATTTTTAACTTTCGTGGAACTTCTTATCATTGTTTTTGTATTGTTTTCTCGTCAATATTGAACCTATTCTATTTCGTGGAACTAAATAACGTTGTTATTTTATCGTATTCTTTTATCGTATTATTTTCGAATGAACACGTGTGCCTGTGTACCGTCCTGTTTGTCGGACTTACTCAGTTTATCGTTAATCAATTGCGAAGGGAAGTTCTGTTCTGCATCATGTAAAAACGGAAAATTAAAGTACTGTCATTAAAGTCATAAACTTAAAATAGTGAATGCATTTGAATGCGGAAAATCGCGAATCGAATTTCAGAGGGAGCATTAGCGAGAAACTCGGGTTAGTGAGAAACCTCTATAAGCGAGAATGAGATTGTGCTCCCTTGAACTCTCGCTTATCTAGGTTTGACTGTATATGTATTTTTTTTTATTGCCTGGATGTGTGGACGTGCCTGATGTTAAGTGGTTACTGGAACCCATAGACATCTACAACGTAAATGCGCCACACACCTTGAGATATAAGTTCTAAGGTCTCAGTATAGTTACAACGGCTGCCCCACCCTTCAAACCGAAACGCATTACTGCTTCACGGCAGAAATAGGCCGGGCGGTGGTACCTACCCGTGCGGACTCACAAGAGGTCCTACCACCAGTTCCTTTTTTTTCATTGCATAGATGGATCTATGAGCTCACGGTCCACCCGATGTTAAGTGGTATGAGCTCCAGAGACATCAACGACGAAAAAGCCGCCACTCACCTTGAGACATGAGTTCTAGGTCTCAGTCTTACAGTATAACGAACGACCCCTCATTTTTAAACCCAAAACGCATTTATGCTTTGTAGTAGAAATAGGCAGGTCAGCGGTACCTACCCGTGCGGGCTCACAAAACTAACTACCACCAGTAATTAAGGAAATTAAAAATTTGCGGGTTTGATTATTATCATTTTTGAAACGAAGTTCCTTATGGAACGATTCCGGGAGAAAACGTCCGTAACATAAGATTTTTATTAATAATGCACACAGTGTACGATTTAACTTTGTAATAACGTACAAATTAGTAATGCACACAGTGTACGACTTAACTTTGTAATAACGTACAAAAAATAACATTTTTTTTATCTTTCATTTACCACGATCTCAGAGCGTTCGTTTGCGCAATACGCTAACTCTTATACAAAGAACCGTGAATGAAGTGTACCACAATAAGTTCTCACGTTACCGAATGACCGTGAAGTGTTGCGAAACCTCCAGTTTTATTTTCTTTATACCTCGAATAGAACTTAAAATTATTATTTTTATAATAAGGAACTTCGTTCCTATCCTGTGTCCCACGACACCACACATCTTTTTTTTTATTCCTTCACCGTGGGAGTATTTCGTGAACAATTCATAGTTACGTGTCTCATTACAAAAACCTGTCAGCGGGATTCGAACGCCGGCGCATGCATATCACTCGATACAATAGAAATGACGACATTAAACCTCAAAAGCATTTTAAATTAAGACAATCGAAAAATTAATTATGATGGGTGATTCCTAATTGCAAAATGATTATTTATCATTATTATTTACGATTTTAACGCTTAATGTTTACGATCGCCGGGTAAATCTAGTAATTCCAATACCTTTTAACATGAATCACAGGGCATGATGTCATACGTGGAAAACCTTTGTTTTTTTTAGCTAATATTATTTAAATCTAAATACAGATGGCTTATATGTTATGTAGCTTTATTTGCCCTCTTTCTATTTGTACTAATCCTCTTCAATGTTCAGATACAATCGGATTGTAATACGTAGCCTTTTTGTAGTACGTATCGATTCTATGGTTTTGTTTCTTGCTAATTTTAAGTCTGAGAGACGTCGCATAGTTCATGCTGGACTTTGATAAATAAGAAAACGCTATTACCTATCGTACGATGATGAATTAGTGATTCTTTTTTTTTTAATTGTACGAAATTTAAATCAAGTAACATTAACGGTTTCTTAGATTCACGACGGAATAGACAATGATCTACGACACCCTAGACACGTCCTTACGGATCCATCAGATCCAATAACGCCTTCAGCTCTAACACTAGGAGCAGCCTTGGGGACCCCAGTAACCGTACTCGTCGAACTCGGCAAAAAGTTCGACGTGCAATCTAACTTAAACGTCAGCCCGCTGAGTTTCTCGCCGGATCTTCTCAGCGGGTCGCGATTCCGATCCGGTTGTAGATTCATTCGCGAAGCACCTACTCTTGAGTTGTTAGGTCTCCTTTAGAGGTGCTCGAGTAGCTGATAGCAAATCCCACCCCTCTTGGCTGAGCCCTTGCTGGACCACCTGCCCTGGTGAAACTGGAAAGGCTTCCGAGCCATCAGTAATTCCTCAAACATAAAAAAACAACGCTCTAGAGATGCGTCCACATCACAATGAGAGAGGTTGAAAAATGTAAACACAAAATGTTTAAAATTTATGAGAAAAAAACGAAAATTGTTAGAATTTACTTTGAAATTATCTTTCTTCTTTTACTTCCATTCGGTATTCGATTATCTTCGACAGCTAAGTTCGATTTTTTTTTTCGATATTACAAACTCCATACGATTTACGTGTCGTACTAGACATATCAACGCACATCAAAATCATTAAGAGACATAATTTCTTTGTTCACAGATAAATGACATTCTAAATTCGTTAGGGCTGGCCGGAACAAGAGAGACGAGATGCGGGAATCTGTCTGGGGGGCAGAAGAAACGTCTTTCGATAGCGGTGGAATTGATTGACAACCCGCCGGTCGTGTTCCTCGACGAGCCGACAACGTTAGTGAGCAATTGTTTTTAATCATTATTTTTGAAGTGAAACTTCTCTAGTCGGATTGAGAGTAAAATTTAACTCGCGACAGATTCGTCACGGCTAGAGAGAAAAGATAGAATTTAGGAAAGGCGAGAGGGAGATAATAGACAAAGCGTCTGGCGAACCACTCGACTGTGGAAAAGTCGAGAGGGGAAAAGTCGTTTCTCCTAAACACAGCATTCCCTAATACAAAAGAAATTTGATTTAAGGCTGAATAATGAAGAAAACCACAATACTATATACCGCAAAAGAAGTTTCACTTCTTTCAAGTGTACCAAGTTGCACGCGCACCCTATTTTATTTGTTATGAACTACTTAGTTATTTCATAAGCTTGAATTCGAAATCGATTGAGGTATAGTTCAAGTTATTGACAACTTGATGACCCCGGATGTATCGGTCGTATAAAGTATACTTATTAGATTAGACAGGCACGTTGGCGAGTTCTCTTTTCTTAGAAACGTACTTTTTATGTATATGCTCACAAGAACTATATGAGAACTTTAATTATTAGATTTTTTCTCTAACTACTCTAACAACTTTACCTTGAGACCCAGGTTAAATTACCGATCGTAGTGTCCCATTGTCTTTTTGTTAAATATATTGCATATGAAAACGGGGTATTGCAAACTAGAACATAGTTTCTATCTCATCTACAAAGTCCGTTTGGAGACATTGAATGTGGAACGCGGTCACGAGAAAAGTAACTTTATTATATAATAAATTTAATGAAATTATAATCAAATGATACTGAGTGCAAAAAAACTAACCTTCATATAAAGTAGTTGGAATATTTTAAGCTGAACTTAGACGAGAAGGATATAGTCGTGAATAACAAAAAAATGGACGTATAATTTTGAGCACTTACGAATAAATAAAAACGATCGAAAATTATTTCAATTACAAAATTTTAACGATAAATAATCCGTACATTGTGTTTGTTCTGTTATCATTTGTTTCTCTGATTACATTGTTTACGAATGCTATAAAACTTTTATTAAAAATTATAATCGTCCTAACCTTTTTTCCACATTAATTAATTACAAAAAAATGGAATCTAGCGTAGAATGCTTCGGTTGTCGTGAATCCTGTAGAATTGTTACTCGCTGGGGCTCGGAATAAATAGGGCCTTCATTTTTTTTATTTTTTATTATTGAATATTTACTGGTGGCCCGGAGGTCTTTCCAGTTTCACCAGGACAGGTGGGCGAGCAAAGGCTCAGCCAGGAGGGGTGGGATTTGCTAACAGCTAAGGGCCTTCATGTCATCTCTGCAAAGCTTTTATAGTCAACACGAGAAGTCTACAATTATCGAAAACATTCCCGGTAGTACTACCGTATCGATATGTGTTTTCGCTATTTGATAATAGATGACGTTACACTTCTCGAGCGTTCTTGATATTTCTAGTTCTTTTTCTTGTCTGACTTGAACCGTTAAAATCAAATTTATTATTATTATTATTATTTAAATTAAAAAATATGTATGGGTAAAATTAAATATTAGTGAAATGAGGTCTGAAAGTAGCGTCGGTGACAAGAAAATATAGATTGGAAGCTTATCGTGGTACGGGCATATTAGGCAAAGAGAGGATGATCATGTAGCCAGAAGGACCCAGGGTATGAAACTAATTTGTGATTGGGTGGAAGGGGCGTCCTAAAAAGACTCGGATGAACTGTATGAAAGAGGACATGCGACAGAAGGGTGTGTGTTCAGAGATGACGTATCATAGGCCTGAATCGATAAAGGTACCCTCTATTTTTTTCAAAACTATTTGCCTGCCGAATTTCGTCAAAATCGGTTCAGCAATTCAGGCGTGAAGATGTAACAGACAGACATGGCTATAGTCGTATTAACAATATTATTGGTAACTTCTAAAATTTAATAGTAGTTACAAAAATGAAAAATTTGTAAATATTATTATTAAAGAACTATAGCACGCTCATTTAATGAATTTTCATGTTTCAATAAATAAAAAACGTTATTTCCCTGTAACTGATTTGGTAAAATTAGGTATTATTTTTTAAAAGTTTTTTTAAGAAAAGATAAAGTCAGGGTAACAGCTAAACGGTATTGCTATGCATTTAAGATACTCACTGAATCTAGTGCTAATGCTCTCCACTAGATAGGCTGTGAGTTGTGAACCTTATTAATTCCAATAAAACAATCTTTGCGAAACAATGAATTGCCTCAAACACGCGATCATCATGATTTTTAAACAATCATAATACAGTATTTACGAGATCTTTAACTACATTAAAATTATAAATAATTATATAATGATCCGACAGTTTTTTCATGCCAGAACATATATTATAATAATTGGACACATAACAGACGTAATGACGCATAGGTTAATAATCTAATATTTATCTAAAGACTGAATGTGAATAATCTACAACTTCAAACCAAAATGCGAAGCTGCTTCGCGATCGATACAGACACTATAATAAGAGTCCGCACTTGATTCTTTTATTTTTAATTTAATTATAACATCTTATTAATCATTATTTTTTAAACTATTTTTATATATTTGACATCATATCGAGATAAATTTTAAATATGTTTCAAATTGCTTGCTAATTTATATCATAAGGCTTATACAGTATGCTTATTTAACGAATTCGTGGTGGCCTAAAGGATAAGACGTCCGGTGCATTCGTATCTCACGATGCACCGGTGTTCGAATCCCGCTGGCGGGTACCAATTTTTCTAATAAATTACGTACTTCACAAATGTTCACGATTGACTTCCACGGTGAAGGAATAACATCGTGTAATAAAAATCAAACCCGCAATATTAAATTTTGCGTTATTACTGGTGGCAGGACGTCTTGTGAGCCCGCACGGGTAGTTACCAGCACCCTGTCTATTTCTGCCGTGAAGCAGTAATGCGTTTCGGTTTGAAGGCTAGGGCAGCCATTGTACTGTAAAAACTGAGAGCTTATGATTATTATCTCAAGGTAGGTGGTGGCATTTATGTTGTAGGTGCCTATGGGCTCCGGTAGCCACTTAACATCAGGTGGGCCGTGGGCTCGTCCACCTATCTAAGCAATAAATAAATAGGAACAAAAAAATATTCTTTGTATTAATGTCATATATTATGTATATGAGTTTATAAGGTCATAAGAATGAATTAGCATAATTTTATGTCTTTGCTAAATAAATGTGGAGTGCTTATCTATAAATCAAAACGCTAAATTGTCAAGGTATTAAATATATATCGACGCTTGAAAGGCAAACGTGACTAAGCGACAATGTGTGAATTTTACAGTAGACTAATTTAAAGTTGAAATACCTGAAAACAAAATTTATTTTAACGAATCTAGCTGTAGTAGAATCTAGCTAGTAGCTGTAGGATTGAAATGATTTTAATAGACCTAGAAATATATATTTTTTGCGCATCGAATATGGTTATTGCATATCATTTAGGTACAAAGCAGTTTTTGTCGCTTAGTCACGTTTGCTTTTCAAGCGTCGATATATATATCCCGTTTCGCAAAAAACTGAGAAAATCGTGTCCACAAAAGTCCATAATCGTTACTATTTTTTTTTAAATAATTCGTAGTTTAATATAACTTTCACATCTTATGCGTAAGTCAAAAAACTGTAAACAGGTACCGTCGCCCCGCCTATGTCGTGAAGCAGAAATGCGTTTCGGTTTGAAGGGCGGGGTAGCCGTTGTAACTATACTGAGACCTTAGAACTCATATCTCAAGGTGGGTGGCGCATTTACGTTATAGATGTCTATGGGCTCCAGTAATCACTCAACACCGGGTGGGCTGTGAGCTCGTCCACCCATCTAAGCAACAAAAAAAAAAACATGGAAAGAGAAACCCTGCAAGGATTACGTGTTTGATTTTGGGCAATTTTAAATGTCGTCAAAATCAGAAACTCAAATAGTCATTCAAATACAAAACAATCTCTAAAGCAAGCTCTAACCGCATGCATAGCCATGGCTAAGACATGTGAATCGGATTGTCAAAGTGACCTAGCAGTGTGACGTGAGCGACAAGGGGAAAGAAAACTTTAGTCGATTATTTTTTATACTGACTTTTAATTCGGTGGCCCAGTCTAGTATTTAGCCTATACGTGTGGGTAATGTCATTCTGTCTATTTTTCATCAATCATTTTACTGTGAGACACTGACCAGGCTTTGTGTAATACAATTCATGAACGCATAGCGATGTCTATGGATTATAGTAATCACTCGATACCAGATTAAGATCCAGATATATAAATCAATATTAAGAAAGCATCAGGGCTAGGTGAACTTATCCAAGCTTTGGACGCTGGTTGTTGAGCGATAGGGGGCTTAGGTCAGTTCAACTCCAAGATGCCCCCGTATAATGTCCCAAATGCGTGGCAGAAGTCCAGACTTTTCTACTTGATCCAAAAAAAAAACTGCTTACCAAAATATTTGAGATCTGAGACCAATTATTGTCAAACCCTCATTGAACGTGCAGGTCTGTTTTCTGTTGCCCAAAATAAAAATAAACTTAATTGAAAACATTTCGCATCATTGGAAAACGCATCTTCTTTACTTGCGTTCTGAAGTCACTGACCGAATTTAACAGGTTTTTTTTTAAAAATTAAAACTGGTTTAGACACGTGAAACCTGCATTCCGAAACAGAGTGCTGTTTTGTTTTTGTAATTTACTATATAACCACAGTCAAATGACAGTTACAAAATGCTCATAGCTCTGGACTGTTATGTATGTCCTCTTAGAAAACAATCGTCTCTCATACAACAAAATTAACCCGATACAGAGAAGGGAAGGAAATGGATAGCTTAAGCAATCTTCAAGGGAACTGTGTGGTCAAGTATAAAATAATCAAATTCTTAACAAAAAAATAATATTGCCTTGATAGGCAGACCAGCATACGGCCAAACTGATGGTAAGTGGTTAACGTCGCTCATGGACGCACAGCCAAGTCGCTGCTTACCATAAATTTGGACCATGGAATCATTAAGTTATGTCATATATGAAAATTCTATTTTACACTGTTTTTATTTTGGGCGTACTTGAGACACACTACTCTGTGGTCAACAGTCAAGTATCACGCTCAAAAAACTGAAGTTTATTTCAAGAGATCTTGTCTTCTACCTTGTATTAATTTACATAAGTAATTTTTTATTATCTTTTATGTTAACAATTTTTTTGACATCTTAATAAATTTCCATTAATTAGTTGAGTTGCCAAAAATTTTAAAGTTAGTCGTCGAAAAGAAAACTCATTTACTTATAGCTATTTAAAAGCTGTCGATCGTACTTACTTGCCCTATACGAAAAATCGAAACAATTCCTACCACGAAGCGACATAGAATAGAACAGTTGAGATAATAATACAACCAGGTGGGGTGTGAACTCGTCTGCCTAGCAAAAAGGAAAACAGTAAACCAAATATAGTATTTATTCTTCGGTTTTCATTAGTCGTAGCCATAATTAAAAATATTGTTAAGGTTTAATATCTCGTTCGTTATTTCGGAAATAATAAAATACATAAACATATAATAAACACGAGATTAAGCAGTTTTTATTTTTTATTGCTTAGATGCGTGGACGAGCTCACAGACCACCTGGTGTTAAGTGGTTACTGGAACCCATAAACATCTATAACGTAAACCCACCTTGAGATATAAGTTCTAAGATCTCGGTATAGTTACAACGGCTGCCCCACCCTACAAACCGAAACGCATTACTGCTTCACGGTAGAAATAGGCAGGGCGGTGGTACCTACCCGCGCGGACTCACAAGAAGACCTACCACCAGTAACACAAGAGGTCCTACCACCAGTATTATTAGAAAATTAAATATTCTTGATTATTTAAAGGCCAGTAATTCTAAGGCTAGTTCCTACTACGCTGTGAGTATTAATACTCACAACTTTTTGAGCTCATAGCTTCGGTTGGTCAATCTCTTTTAAAATTACCGAATTTAGGGACATTCCTTACGCTGAAGCGCATACAATCCTCCATGTTTGTTTTTTTTAACGTCAATTAAATTTCGATTATTTTTAATGATCTTAATTATATTTTCTAAAAAATGTTTACGACTCCGTTAATATATTTTCTTATTAATTATTAATTTTGCTCTTTGCCATTTGTTAATTATAAAAAAATAATGTTACGTTGTTAGTTCATTATTAATAAATGAATGAAAAACATAAAGTTTTTGAAATCAAATCAAATCAAATCAAAAAAATTTTATTCAACATAAATGAAAGTATATACTTGTTGAACGTCAAAAGAACTACCGCCAATTCACAAAAACTAGCCTCCGTGCTGAGTAGAATTCGCAAAAAACTCAGCGGGCATGTCTTTTTTTTTAAATATAAAATTATTATTATTATTATTATTAATAAATTTTTTTTTGAAAGTACTCGTTCTCCACATATCGTATGTCAATGACACTATGACATTATAAATGACAATATAACAACCATTTCAGGGATGTGCTAATGAGAACCTTTACAAGTTTCATTCATTCATCTTTTGTTAACGCGTAGAGAACAATTTATACACACAAAGCCTAAGTTTTTATTGTATAGATACAATGTAATGCTTGCATTATCTTGTATTGTGTATCGTGTAAACAAATATAACTTTTACCCGACACATCGACTGTAGACTTGTCCATCCTATGCATTATCTATATCTATTTGCGGTAGGAAGCGGCTTGGTTCTGCCCCTGGCATTGCTGAAGTCCATGGGCGACGGTAACCACTCACCATCAGGTGGGCCGTTTGCCCGTCTGCCTACAAAGGCAATAAAAAAAAAAATCTTCATTTTCAATTTTACTTTTCCGAGTTAATTGGTGTCCGTATCTTTACAAGATAAAATAGCAACAATAACCAATATTTTTATTATATGTTTATTTCTTAATGTAAGGGGAACCACCGGTTATAATTTATACAATTTGGTAGTTCTGATTATAATTTAAAAAAAATTTAAATTTATAATAAGAAGTTTCTTTTTTATATCACGACTAATTAATGTGGACTTGTTTAATAATTTAATTCGGCCTTCAAAATGGCACATACTTATACGAATAATTACCAGTTCTTTTTTTGTCGTACAACCAACTAAACAACACTAATAGTGGCGCGAAACAATAACCCATTTATCTGTTGCTACATTTTCCCACCGCGGCTCACGCAAAAATTAACTATCGTCGAAGCCCTAGACAATGGCCCTTCTGAGCCAATCTCAGTAAAGTTTGAGGCTATTAGTACAAAGGCTAATAGCAGCCTATTAGTACAAAGGCTAATAGCAGCATAATAAATTAGCGGAAAGGTATACGGGTCAAACCGAAATCCCTCCAATCCAAAATAAAATATTTTAAAACTAGTGACCCGCCCTCGCTTCGCTTCGGAAACTGTAATTTATTATTAATTTCTTCACTATTTAATGTATGGTATTATACATATAAATTTTCCTCTTCAATCACTCTATCTATTAAAAACCGCATCAAAATCCGTTGCTTAGTTTTAAAGATTTAAGCATACATAGGACAGACAAATGTAGGGACAGAGAAAGCGACTTTGTTTTATACTATGTAGTGATGAACAACACCTTCCTCGCTCGAAGATATTCCTCTTGTCGTTGCCTTTCTTCCCTCCGTATTGTCATTTTACGTTTAAAGATTTATTTTTTCCAGATCGACTTCGAGAACAATCTGTTTACTCATTGTATTTGATGATAGTCACAACGTAACGTGTCGAGTTCCACGATCGAACCTGTTTGTGATATCTTGGAAAATAACCTATACTAATATCATAAAGCTGAAGAGTTTGTTTGTTTGTTTAAACGCGCTAATCTCAGGAACTAATGATCTGAGTTGAAAATATATTTGATCCGATTTGAAAAATTCTTTCAGTGTTAGATGGCCCATTTATTGGGGAAGGCTATATAGGCTATATAAAATCACGCTAAGACTAATACAAACGGAGCACCAATAAAGAATGTTTCAAAATCGGTGGTTTTTTCCTTTTGAGAGCTTCCGCTGTGTGCGGTGCGGAAACGGTTAAAGTTCCGCTAAAATAATGTATGAATTAACAGAATTGGTTCAAACATTCTCGAGAAATCGGTGAACATACACAGATAAAAATGGTGGTCGAATTGATAGCCTCCTCTTTTGAAGCCGGTTAAAAAGCCTGATTTTGGTACCTACCTTAAATAGCTCCTTAACATTATATTATTCAAAAATATTTTCACTTTCTACGTAAATTAAGTCGCGGGTAAAATTTAGCGTCATGCCAAAGTAACTATTCCACGCGAACAAAGTCGCGGGCAAAAGCTAGTATTTCAATCACGTCTTTACGGATCCATCAGATCCAATAAATTTTGCATTAGACGCCTTCAGCTCTAACACTAGGAGCAGGCTTAGGGACCCCGGTAACCGTACTCGTCGAACTCGACCAAGAGTTCGCCGTGCAACCTAACCCATGAATCAGCTCGCTGAGTTTCTCGCCGGATCTTCTCAGCGGGTCGCGATTCCGATCCGGTAGTAGATTCATTCGCGAAGCAGCTACTCTTGAGCTGTTAGGTCTCCTTCGGAGGCACTCGGGTAGCTGTTAGCAAATCCCACCCCTCCTGGCTGAGCCTTTCCTCGCCCACCTGTCCTGGTGAAACTGGAAAGGCCTCCGGGCCACCAGTAATCCTTCAATAATAAAAAAAAAGTATTTCAATAAAGCGTTAATTATTAACTTACAGAGGTTTGGATAGCCTCACGTCGACACAGTGCATGAAGCTTCTGAAGAAACTCGCCCGTGAAGGACGAACTATAGTCTGCACAATACATCAGCCCACCGCTTCTATCTACTCTATGTTTGATCAGGTATGTCTTGGTTCCTTAGTGTTTATATATTGCTCTATAACCATTTTAATTCCAGCATTATGCAATTATATTAATACGTGAAGCAAAAACTTTGTATCCCTTTTTACGAGAATTGCGTTGACGAAGGAGTATGAAATTTCCCACACTTATCGAGAATATAGAGAAGGAGTGCAGAATGTTAATATTTTATTAAATTATGCATAAGAAATGCATTAAATCAATAAAAAAAACATTACACACACTACTATGTATTTAACACACAAACACGCATGCATACTATTTGTTTATTGTCATTTGTTTCTTATTGCTTGTAAAGTCTGTGGTAAAATTGAGAATAGATTAAATATTGTTCGTCTTTATTAATATTTCTAAGTCTTAAATGTAGTGTTAGCGAAATCTGTGATTATAGAAGTTTAATAGTCTTTGACAATAGAATCATAATAGTGTACAAACTTATAATTTCAATTAATTATAGTCGAATATCGACTATCGGGGGACCACTAGTGAAATTAAAATTCTATTGAAAATAGTATTAAAGCGTCGATTGCCTAATACATCAGACGCCCCATGTTCGTGTTGATGGTCTGATTATAAGTTTTATTTTTTTGGGGCAGATACAATTGTTTTTAACTTTTATAAATAACTAGCTGACCCGGCAGACTTCATAGTGCCTCAATCGATAAATAAAATACCTTAACTTTTGTATAAAATAAACTTAAACAAAAGGAATCCATCCGACGGGGGATACATCAAAGGGAAAAAAAATTGTTATTTTTATTTAATTCCGAGCATTTTCATATTTATCTACCTTTAATTACCTAAAATTAGCCAATTCGGTCCAACCGTTCTCGAGTTTTAGCGAGACTAACGAACAGCAATTCATTTTTATATAGATAATAGATATTACATAGATAATAAATCAAATAACCCTAAGTTTCATAGCATGATAAAAATCTCGCCGGATCTTCTCACTGGGTCGCGATTCTGATCCGGTAGTAGACACAGTGAAGTAATGCTCTTGTTAGGGCTAGTGTTAGCAATTCCTTCAGGTTGAGCCCGTGAGCTCACCTACCGGTCCGCGTGAAGTTGTAATATGTGTTTGTATATGAAGTTGTAGTGTGAAGCCCATTAGGCTGCCAACGATTAGGTAGGAAAAAAATGTGTGGTGTCGTGGGACACCGGATAGGAACGAAGTTCCTTATTATAAAAATACTAGACGATGAACGGTATTTTTTTTTCTATTAAATTGTTTTTTTTTAGAATTTATATTTAAATAGGAATTGCATATTGATAAAATGATGAAATATTCCAAGATCCTTTAGGCATTTTGAAGTAACGTGAGTTAAAAAGACACAAATATATAAATAAACAATTCATTTTCTTGGTCTAACCTTAAACTTAAACACTCATTGGCTTCGGGTGGCTGAACAACGCCATCTGCTGAAATAGCTTTAGTGTTATTGTGTCTTGCTCTCAATTATGGAAAATAGTATTATTATTCGCCAATAGATGTCGGGAAGAGTCATCAAGTTGATTATTGAAAACACGAATAAAACAACATTTTCTTAAAATAAATCGTAGCTAGATCGATTTATCGCCCCCGAAATCCCCTGTATACTAAATTTTATGAAAATCGTTGGAGCCGTTTCCGAGATTCAGATTATATACATATATATTAATATACAAGAATGGCTCGTACAAGATAATTATTCGGGTATACATTTTTTATTATGATTTTTTTATTGATAAAAAAAAAAATACTTTACAAAGTTATCAACTTTATTTTATTCACAATGATTTATAAAAATTTACAATAGAAAAATATGTTATTTTTTGTACGTTATTACAAAGTTAACTCGTACACTGTGTGCATTACTAATAAAAATCTTACGTTACGGACGTTTTTCCCGGTTAGGGTACCCCTACGCATCGACCCACAAGGAACTTCGTTCTAAAAAAATCAATTAAAATGCATGATGTCAAAATATACTTCAAGTTAACGTATAATCGACGTTAATCGCTCGTCGTACATTTTGGCCTCAAATGACGTCAGAGTCGCGCTCAGCTGAAATTTGTAGAGCTTCCGCGGCCATTTTGCAAAAGTAAGACTTTCAAACTTCGTCCTGTTTAAATTTTAATGAATAGATCAGCTCTATTTTAAAAACTGGAATCCGTTGATTTTTTGTTCTAGGAATCCGTGATAGCTTATTAATTATAGAGCTTCACATATATATAGGTACGTTTGGTAAGGTGTGCAAAAACATTTTTAATCAAAGGTAAGATGGCAAAAAATACACGAAACTAAAAACAACAAAATTCCGTATTGCCGTATAATTATTAAAGTTTTGTAAATATATATTACTTATATCTATTCTTGTCTTTTAAAAATCTTGTTCACTGAACTTGTTGTTGAAGGTCATCGGAATTAATTTCAACTCGTTAAGCTACGTCCGCCTTTTCATAGTTCGGCTTTGAGAGCATCCGGCAATGATCTTTCCTCCTTAGTGAAAGAGATAGCAACCCACCTATAGCTATGTCATTACTGAAGCCCATAGATATATAACTACATAACCATAGATATATAGGCAGGCAGCGGCCTGGCTCTGCCCCTGGCATTGCTAAGGTCCATGGGCGACGGTAACCACTCACCATCAGGTGAGCCGTATGCTCGTTTGCATACAAGGGCAATAAAAAAAACATAACTACGTGAATACTGGCCTTATTTTGAGAAATAAGGTTGAATCTCGGTTGTGTTATAGTATAATAGAACGCATTACTGCTTCGCGGCAGAAACAGGCAGGCTGATGGCACCAGCTTGTGCGGGCTCACGAGACACTCTACCAGACAGCCTTCTCTCCAAACTGTTTCAATAAGTTACTCAAACGAGTCTCAAGGAGAGTCGGCTGCCATAGAGAACGGTTTGCCTATGCCCCTGAAATATAAATACGTTGAACCCAATAAGGTTATAATTTTTTATTTTATATTCATAAGATGAGTGAGACAAAATAAAAAGAAAAGTATATTAAAAACAAAAAATAAACATGAAACCAAATTACATTGCATAAAACCATTATGTTTTTTGTTAACATTGAAAAAAATTTATTACAAAATTATGCCAGTTAGCGAATGATATTGAGGAACAAAAAACAAAAAAATAATTATTATTAAATACAAAACTTGTATAGAACGTTTTAGATTTTAATTACCACTAACTTACTTGACTTTTATTACGTTTGGAGACTGACGAACATTCAGTCCACTTGATGGTCAGTGGACATCGTCACTCGTTAATGTCAGCCATTATTCTATACTAATTATATTTGTGAACGAATGTATGCTCTCTATACTATCTGGCTGAGCCCAGACTCATCCGCCTATCTTGGTGAAACTGGAAAAGTCTTCAGGTCAACAGTAATCTTTCCTAATTTCCTTTAAAAAAAATCTATATGTGGTTATGCTAGTTTCACCGAACTTGTAGGCGAGCTCACGGGTTCTTTTTTTCCTATCTATGCAGATAGCCTTGCTAGCTTGATAGCTCTTTCAGCTTCTTTTTGAAGTGTAGGTGAGCTCACAGGGCTCGCTTTCGAGACTTTTCTAACATTTGCCCTAGCAAGAGCAGTACTTTGTTGACTCTGCTACCGGATCGGAATCGCGATTCACTGACAAGGTTAAGCGAGAAATTCAGTGAGTCGTGTCTGTGAGTTAAGTTGCACGACGCCAAAAACGATGTCCGGTGCTTGGAATGTCTAAACGCACCGAAGGATCCGAAATGCAGTGCTATCGTGTCACCCCGTTTTTTTCGAGAAGCGTTCTGACGCTGTATTCAGATAGGTACTTACGAATGGATACTAATTGTAGGGCATAGTGGAGATCTACATACTTCACATACCTACAACGCGCTCCGATAGCTATTCTGCTTCTGGAACTTAATGACTTGTAGGATGCTCATGTGGCCGCGATAGCAAACACCACACTTGCACATGTGACAACCTGTGCTAGTTTTGTAGGGTGCTATCTTATTGCGAAGGTACAACAACCTGCTCCGCTTGCAGATCATGGTATAAAATCTTCTGAGTGAGAACGCGGCTCGGTTGCGACGTGTTCTAATGTGTGAACGGCATGTCATTTATCTGTCGAGGGTGACGCCTCAGTATCTTGTCTTCGAGGCCCACAATATCGGCTGGCCGAATAGGGTGATAGGGCAAATGGCGTTATCGCGCCTGAAACGGTTTGGGATACTTGAAGTGGTATCGCCACAGCGACCCATTTTGAAGAGCACGGCTGTGCTTTCCCTGAGGTTTATATCGATGTGCCATTTCCGGAACCACAGTCATGTAGTAGATAGCAGTTTCATCGGCGAAGAGAGCTAAATGGGTCGCCAAAGACCGTGGTATATCGTTGAAATACAAATCAATAACAATAACAAGACTTTGGTGCGGTCCTGCCCGCTAGCTAGCTAGTTGCAAATAAGATCCTAAATTTTTGTCTAGGTCTACATTTTGGCGGAAGGAATGTGTATTTACCAAGGGCCCAGCGAAGATACGGTACGCTATCTCGCCACTGTTGACCTGCATTGTCCCAAGTACCACAATCCGGCCGATTATGGTAAGTTTTATTACAATTTCGACTTTTTATTTTTCTCTATTTATGTGTGTATGTATGTATCTATGCTTCAAATAGAATAAAATAAATGAGAATTTATAATAAAAATATAATGTTTCTTTTCATCAACCGCCGCGTCAACAGCTTTTTTTTTAAAGTAACGTAACGTTCCGATTGATAAGATATTTCTAAAAAAAATTCGTGGCACTTAACTCATCCGATCCTTATTCCAAGCTGTGATACTTATGGGCTCGAGCGAACGCTTACTGCCGGGTGCGTCGTGAGCTCGTCGAACGTTTGTTCCTCTAAAGCAATTTACAATTATTATGATTTCTTATTAATGATGTTACGTTCTAATCTATTTTGCATTCATAAGATGGGCACATGTTTTTGTTCAAAATCCCCCCCTCTACACCGCTTTACGCCCAATTTAATTAAACTCGTTATCGACCCGACCCCAAAACAAATTCACTGAGCGTGACGCCATTCAGGGTCGAAACGGACAACGGACCTACAATAAAATATTTCATCCATTAATCTCTTAAATACATAATGATTATGATGGGCTGTAGTTAGTTTTTATCTTGAAAATAGAAAGTTTTGTAGATTTTTTTAATTTTTGACGTGACAACGTCTTATAATTCAATGGAGCCGGCTGCACGCACGAAAAAACATGACTCATTGAGGCGTTCCATTTAAGGCTTGAAGTGCAAGCGAGAGCGCGCAACGAGCGACAAAGAGGCACAATCGGCCTCCGCGTTCGGCAGCGTTCGACATCTGTCTCTCTCCTACTTGAGTGAGCGATGCATCCGCGTGGACAGCTGCAATACATAATACATTTACATGTTTTCGTCAAGTATGAAATTCAGTGAAAACTGAATGTAATTCATTGTCCATACAAAATATCTATCAAACAAATAAAATTAAAATTTTCTTTTGAAAAATGAAACCATTTCATCAGTATTTTCTTATGACGTTGTCACGTTCAACTATCGTCAGTAAACCGACTTTACAGATAACCGATTTTTTATTTTGTAGGCAGACGAGCATACGGCCCACCAGACAAAAAAAAGTTATGTTAAATTGCCTATTGATGCTTTGTTTATTAAATTTTAAGCGAGAACTAACACTGCTTGTCTTATGGTATACTAAATATATTAGTATTATATGGCATTCCAAATAAAATCGTTGCAAATTCAGAAAAAAACTAACAGAAAGAAAACTAATAATTTATTTCGAGACAAAAATATGCTTCAGAAACAACCTACAAGTCGATTTATCGCAGCTTGCTTTATTATAAATCATTATTATATAATATACACACGTCTTATCACGACACCGAATTATAGAGACAAAAAATATTCTTGTTTCGTTAAGTGAAAAAGTTGTTCATTTACATAAAAACTATATAATTTATGTACGTAGATCAACGTCGGATATGGAGGAAATATATATATATATATATACATTTGCACATATTATTATTATACAATTATAATTTAAGCGTGTGGTGGGCGCCTAAGAATACCCCCAACCCAAACTTAGCTCATGGGTGTCGTAGAAGGCGACTAAGAGCCAAAGCCAGACCAAAGCCAATAAAACCTCGGCCCAAGGTCAACAAAAGCATTCCCAAGGAGGGTTGATGTCAGGCAGGCGGCCGGTCATAAAAACTTTGCCAAAACTTAGAGCAACATGAGAAGGAATAAAAAGAAGAGCACCAGGGCTAGGGCGTCCCCCGCAGGCGACGCGCAGGGACAGCACCCGGTCTCTGTGGAAAGTGGACGAGGGTTGTCGCATCACGGGCGGGTGCGACGTAAGACGCAAGCCCAAAATGTGAGAGAGATGAGATTGAGGTATGCAAGCTGGAATGTGGGCAGTATGACTGGGAAAGGAAGGGAGCTAGTAGATGTGTTAAAGAGGAGAAGAATAAATATAGCATGTCTGCAAGAGACTAGGTGGAAAGGAGCGAAAGCTAGAGAAATTGGTGAAGGATATAAGCTGTATTATAGTGGAAGTGATGGAAGAAGGAATGGCGTGGGAGTAGTGTTAGATAAGGATTTGAAAGATTGTGTGGCGCATGTCATAAGAACGAGTGATAGGATAATAACCGTAAAAATAGTTTGTGAAAGTGTTATTTTGAATGTTATAAGTGTGTACGCGCCTCAGTCCGGGTGCAAGGAGGACGTGAAAGAGAAATTTTGGCAGGATTTTGATAGTGTTATGATTCGCATTCCAGAGAGTGAAGAGATTTGTATAGGAGGTGATTTTAATGGACATGTAGGAGCTACAAATGAGGGCTATGAAAGGGTGCATGGAGGGTGGGGGTATGGCAATCGTAATGATGATGGAGACCAGTTGCTCCAAGCTGCGACCACCTTTAACCTGGCAGTGGCGAATACGTGGTTCCAGAAACGGCCTGAACACCTTATCACCTATAAGAGTGGTAAACACGCGACACAGATCGACTACTTTCTGATTAAGAGAAGTAAGTTGGTATGTGTCAAAAACTGCAAAGTACTGCCGGGTGAAGCATTGGTGACGCAGCATAGACTGTTACTAATGGACATTACAATCAGTTACAAGTACCTAAGGAGGAAAAACCGTCTCTCGCCAAAAATTAGATGGCGTATGCTAGAGACAGATGAGTATGCTGGTCGATTTAGGGAAATAATGATAGAAAACATCTTGGAAATGAAGGATATGAAAGAGAAATCTGCGAATGATTGTTGGGATGAAATGGCAAATAGTGTCAGGAAGACAGCTAAGGCTGTGCTCGGCGAATCAAAAGGGAAAGGTATAATTGACAAGGATACATGGTGGTGGAATGAGAATGTACAGAGAGAATTGAAAGAAAAGAAGAATGCATTCAAAAAGTGGCAACTAGAAAGAGGTAATGAAAGTGAGAGGCAAGCTAGGAAGAATGAGTATAGAGAATGTAAGAAAAAGGCCACTAAAGCGGTTGCTATAGCCAGGTCTGACGCTCAGAAACGGTTGTATGCCGCTTTAGATGGACCTCGTGGACAAAAGGAACTTTACCGTATTACAAGAGCTAGAGAAGAAAGAGCGAAAGATATTAAGCATGTCAGATGTATGAAAAATGAGACAGGTAAAGTTTTAATGAGAGATGACGAAATAAAAGAGCGCTGGAAGATATATTTTGAAAAATTAATGAATGAGGAGAACGACTGGAATAGAGTGATTAATAGGAAGCCAGAGAACGTCGGACTTGTGAATGAGATTAGTATGTATGAAGTTAGAGAAGCAGTGAGAAGTATGAAAAGCGGAAAATCGGAAGGACCAGACGGTATACCAGTGGAAGTATGGAAGATACTGGGAGAAGACGGATATAAGTGGCTGACTTTATTCTTCAATAAGCTGCTGCAAGAAGAAGTGATCCCTACGGAATGGAGCATCAGTACGCTGGTGCCCATATACAAAAATAAAGGGGATGTGCAAGACTGTGGCAGCTATCGGGGAATAAAGCTTATGTCTCATAGTATGAAAGTTTGGGAGAAAGTGATAGAAAAGCGATTGCGAGATGAAAGTGAGATCACCCAAAACCAGTTCGGGTTCATGCCTGGTCGCGGGACAACGGACGCCATATTTGCACTCCGCCAAGTGTGCGAAAAACATCGCGACGTGCACAGGAATCTGCATATGGTGTTCGTTGATCTAGAGAAAGCGTACGACCGAGTACCTAGAGCAGTTTTGTGGTGGGCATTGAATGAGAAAGGTATACCTGGTAAGTATGTGAGGTTAATCTGTGCCATGTACAGTCGAGCCAGGACGTATGTACGAACCGCCGCGGGGAATTCCGACGAGTTCAATGTGGCAGTGGGCTTACACCAAGGGTCTGCACTAAGTCCCTATCTCTTCCTGCTTGTGATGGATGCCTTGACATCGGAGATACAGGAAGAGCCCCCTTGGTGTATGCTGTTTGCCGATGACATAGTGCTCGTCGGAGAAAACGGGCTCGAGGTCCAAAACATACTGGAGAAATGGCGATGCAAGTTGGAGAGTGTTGGCCTAAAAATCAGCAGATCGAAAACCGAACATCTGTTCTGTGATTTTGGCGGTCTCTCCAATTTTGCACCCATTTCCCTCGACGGAACACCTTTGCCAGTATGTCAAGACTTCCGCTACCTAGGGTCTGTTATCCAAAGCGACGGTGAACTGGATCGTACTGTCAGGCACAGAATTGACGCAGGATGGATGAAATGGCGGCAGGTCACGGGCACCATATGTGACTCGCACATCCCTCTTCCCCTAAAAGGGAAGATATATAAGACCTTAATAAGGCCTGCCGTCTTGTATGGATCAGCGTGTTGGACAACGAAAGTGGCGGATGAAAGGCGATTGCATGCAGCAGAGATGCGAATGTTGCGATGGATGTGTGGAGTAACGAGAATGGATAGAATACGGAATGAATATGTTAGAGGAAGTCTGAAAGTGGCACCTGTGACAGAGAAGCTGAGGAGTGCACGTTTGGGATGGTATGGACATGTGATGAGACGGAATGAAAATGAGGTTGTTAAGAGAGTGTTAACTATGAATGTGGAAGGATTTAGAGGAAGAGGTAGACCTAAGAAGAAATGGATGGATTGTGTGAAAGACGATATGGGTAGGAGGGGAGTGAGCGAAGAAATGGTATATGATAGAAGAGTATGGAAGGAGAAAACATGTTGCGCCGACCCCAGGTGACTGGGAGAAGGGCAGGATAATGATGAATGATGATATAATTATATGATTAAAAATATTTTTACGCGTTAATCTCTGCTGACCGACGTCCGTGACCACGACGAATTAAGTTCAGTATTCCGAACGTCGGATATGTTTAAATAACATTTAAAAAACACGTGTGGCACTCGGGGACAGGCGCGGTAAAGCTATTGCATAGCATTTTTTTATCAAAAACAATAATAAAATAAGACCACGCTATATTTATAAACATTAACAAAAGCAAAACATTAGCTGTGCCCTTTACACTCATAAGCTAGACCGCGCGAAAGAAAGAGATGGGCAGACTTTTCATGATGCGCATGCAGTTCAACATCACGCCGTGCGCTCATTCATACTACACAAGCGCAACGAATGAATGTGTTGAACGCGAGCTACATGGTGGCAGAGTGGGGGGTGTTAGGTTTTATTTTCGTTACGGAATTGATTCGGTCGCCGCGCTCAAAGCCCGCGATAAAAGCTATGGAGTAGCTTAAAAATGCGACATTAAACCGTAAAAGTAATTTTAATAATATCTAAGTCCGACTTGCAGAAACCGAAGGAGACATACGTGACCTTAAGTAAATATCAAAACAAAATATTTGTATGCAAATTATAACTAAAACGGCCGACCGGTATTTCACGTTATTTCTTTTTTTAATACAGGTGGGTGCTAGCAAAGCCTGTTTGTTATACGGATTATTGTCTGTAATAATAATATTTAAATGCGATATAATAAATAATAACTGTCTAAACTTCTGTCCGTAAACACCACTGTCACTAAGGTGTTATTTTATTGTAATTCTATATTTATTTAATTTTTTTATTGTATAAATGGGTGGACGAACTGATGGTGCACCTGGTGATAAGTAGTTACCGGAGCCCATAGACATCTACAACGTATATGTCGCCACCAGGGACGTCTTAAATTAGGCTGGGGCCCTTGGGCACACAAGGATTTGGGGCCCTTTTGGAAAGTAAAAAAAGCGAATTATAATAACATTTTTTTTACTGAGTAGGACCATTTATTATAGGTAATCAAATACAGTATGATATAATATGTCATTAATTATGTTAGAATGCTGCTGGTTTTTTGGATACGATTACGATAACGGAAACGATCGCTGGATGGCGTTCATAGTAAATTAGGTAGGATGCGTTCGAAAATATTATTAATTAGTACCGTAGGAATAAGCGAATAGTCATCGATAAAATGGCGAAGTATATGCCTTGTAAATACCTTCTGATAAGATTAGTGATTTGTCAAAAAAGTGTAATGTGCCCGACAAAAATGTTTTGAGAATAAATGTGTGAGAGAAATTGTCGGTCCTTCGGGGCCCCCTGAGAATGGGGGCCCTGGGCACGGGCCCCGTGTGCCCTTATGGTAAAGACGGTATTGGTCGCCACTCTCCTTGAGATATGAGCTCTACATTCGGATTTTTTACGGACGCCGTTTGTTGTAGTTATTTCTGTGTGTTTGTAGTTTTTTGTTATTTCGTTTGTAGTTTTTCGTGATGTACGAAAAGATAAGAATTTGTCGTTGTGGCCTAAAGGATAAGACGTCCGGTGCATTCGTATGTAGCGATGCAACGGTGTTCGAATCCCGCAGTCGGGTACCATATTATTGATATAGTACTTGACAAATGTTCACGACTGATTTCCATGGTGAAAGAATAATATCGTGTGATAAAATTCAAAACCGCAAAATTACTATTAGCATAATTACTGGTGGTAGGACGTCTTGTGAGTCCACACGGGTAGGTACCACAACCCTGTCTATTTCTGCCGTGAAGCAGTAATGCGTTTCGGTTTGCAGGGTGGGGCAGCCGTTTTAACTATACTGAGACCTTAGAACTTATATCTCAAGATGGGTGGCGCATTTACGTTGTAGATGTCTATGGGCTCCAGTAACCACTTAACACCAGATGGGCTGTGAGCCCGTCCAACCATCTAAGCAATAATAAAAAAAATAATGTATTGTTGTTTATTTTTCATTAATTAGGCCAACACTACTACTAGTGTTGAATTAAATTCGACTGTAATTACAACAAAAAACTGAAGATTTGGCTTCAGTTTTAAGGCTCGGTCTTCAAAATGGGAAGAAAATGGAACTGAACTGTATTGTTTTACCTATTTGTCTATAGATATTAACTAACAGCCAAACTTATTTATAGTTCTAGAAATCGCCACTGGAGAATATGGTAACTTGAACGAGATGCTTGCGTCGAGGCAGCCGTGGCGAGGAGAGGCCACGAGGACTCCGACTGTCACCTCTTCACCAATATCCGAGTTCTCGTGCGATCGAATATCCATTCTAGTTAATCCTCCCCATGAATTATACAAGTTCGGAGTACTCTTCAAGAGATGCATAAAACAACAGTACAGAGATTGGGTTCGTTAATTTCATATAACAATAAATATATCTAGTCCATTGAAATGTTACATGAGCTTGGCATTTTTTAGAGGACGCAATTTTATTTTTGGGACATGTGGTCAATAGAAGCTTAACCTCAAGTTTGTGGGGTCGCCACCCTTGTCCCCCGGCCGCCATCTTGAAAAAAGGCGATATCTCGCAAAAGACGCTTTTCGTCCCTTTTTTTTTAAATTAGTTTGAATACTTTACAACTTTAGAAACTTTACAACATAGAGCACCTTGTGAGTCCGCCCGGGAACCAATTATGAGTTCCAGTTTGAAGGGTGAGGCAGCCGTTGAACTATAAATAAGGGGGACTTAGAGCTCATTTCTCAAGATAATTAGCGGCCAATAAGTTTGTTGATTCCTATAGGCTCCGGTAACCATGTCTTAACACCCGTCGAAGAATGCCAGGCCATTAATAGGGCTGAAAGGTACGCTTTGTAAAAACGTTACTTTCATCTTGTTCCTAGATTATCGCTATGTAGTTACAAGAGCTTATAGACATCGTAGCACATATGCCGAAATCCGCCTTAAGATATGAGGACGAAGACTCGATCTTGTACAGACGCCTACAATACGCCTCCCACCGAAACGATCAACCCAGTAACGCGACTCCAGGCTTTAAATAATCTTTTATATTGCGCAGACGACAACACATTTGAAAGTGATGTTACACATCGTAGTTGGAGTGCTTCTCGGTCTTCTGTTCGAGAATGCTGGTAATGACGCTTCGAAAACTCTCAGTAACCTCGGCTACCTTCTTGTGTCTTCCGTCTACCTTAGCTACACGTCTTTAATGCCAGCTATACTCAAATGTAAGTACCTAATGTCTGTAATTTCAGCCCAAACTGTTTATAGGTCACGAAGGAGTGTCTACAATTGGGCCTTACATCTCATGTCTTATGGTAGGTGACGGCATCCACGCACTGATGTATATGGGCTTCGGGAACCACAAAAATCGTGAGTTCGTTCGTCCATCTTCTTCTTCTCTGTCGAATACTCTCGGCAGAGTAGTCATGGCTGTCTATGAACAGGATTGCGTCCATCTAAGCCACGACAAAATATCTGAAAGTTGTTCGGAAATATATAGATAGTTTAAAAATATTTCTGCTTTTTTAGCAACTCGGAAAGTCAGACCTACTGAGACAGCCTATCTAATTTAATTTCGCTTGAATTCACACAGTTGCTTTGAGATATTGGTAATCTAGACAGATGTTGTGATAGCTATTAAAGAACACAAGTTATTTGGCAGATGCCTGAATCTCGCTTACGTCATTTTCAAGATAAGCTTACACGTATACAAGTCCCGAACAACAACATTCGGACCGTCGGTATACCGAGCAATATCACCCGCTCATTGGAAGATCTTCCCTTTATCGTATACCTCCAAATAGGTATTATAGATTACTTTGTTGATTGATTACAACATGTATAATATTTAGCATTGTTGTACCTCGTATATACAAGATCATTATCTAGGGAGGGTATTCCTTTTGCAGAAATGTGGAATTAAAGGAATTTCTGGTTACCAAAACCAATAGCTTACCGAAACGCATCCAAATTACCTCTTAAATCATGGTTCACGAATATCTTTGCAGTTCCATCTGAATTACCGGTCGTGAAGAAGGAGACTTTCAACAACTGGTATTACTTACGCACATACTACGCTGCGGTACTCGTTACTGGGATCCCAATGCAGGTACTAAATGTTTTGGGTAACACGAACTCGTTGTGACCTAAAGGTTAAGATGCCAGTGTGCTGAATGCGAGTTTTTTAACGTTCTCGATAGCGTAAAAGTTAACTCAGAATTGTATGCAGTTGGAACAGCGCCCCTAGCGGCAAACGTAGGCAAATGTTCCAAATTCATACAAATTTGAGTTAACTCTTACGCTATCGAGAACGTTAAAAAACTCGCACTAAACACACTGGTCAGCTCGTGTCAGTCGATTCGAGGGTCTCCGTGTTCTAATCTTACAGTCAGGCACCAGTTATTTCTAATGAAATACGTAGCAAATGTTCACGGTGACTTCCCCGTTACCATAGAGTTACTACTTATTAACTCCATGCCCGTTACACACATGGACAGATGTAGAATAGGGATCTTGGCACATAAAAATATAAGACTATTCCTTTTTTGCACTTTTATTGTTCTTCTCTCAAATCTTCTGTATTATAATAATTTAATGAATTATCTGACACCTTTTTTACGGCTTGCTCATTCAATCGTCTTCGCCATCTTCCTTTTCTCTGTCATTCTATTCGCGAAGCAGCTGCTCTTGAGTTATTAGGTCTCCTTTGGAGGCGCTTGAGCAGCTGTTAGCAAATTCTACCCCTCTTGGCTGAGCCTTTACTCGCCTACCTGCCCAAGCTACACCAAACTGGAAAGGTCTACGGGCAACTAGTAATCTCTCAATCACGAAAAAAAACTGTCATTCTCTTTCCCTTTCTTACCGTTACTCTCGCTCACATCTTAACGCTCCGTTCCAGTCTTTTCATAAGTTCCGTTCTTACCAATCGTATATAGATACAAGCTGATAGAAGCGTATTTAAATTGTATTTTGTTTTTTAGATTTGGTACAGCTTCGTGTATTCGACGCCCTCATACATTCTCTCTGGACAACCGCTGGAATTAACTAGATTCTGTATGTTTGTATTGGTGCTCGCTACCGTGACGCTACTCGCTGATGCCCTTGGTAATGTCATTGGCAGCACCGTTAACCCTGTTGTGAGTATTCATTTGTATTTCATTCAAAAATAGACTGGCATACGACCAGGCAGATAGGCTAAATTCGTTCTTACCTTGACAATTCAATCGGATTCAAATCTCTTACATTACAATGTATCTCGAACATTTTGATAGTAACATTTTCTGTAATAAGTAAGTTGGAATAGATTTTAGAATGCAACACAATTAGAAAGAGATGTGAAGTGTTTTTTGTTGTTACGTTCATTACGAAGTAGATTTGTGTTGGATATTTTATTTAGAAGTTTTCCATGATGATGATCAAGAAAATTATAATATTTTTATTTCTGTAAATTGGTACACAAATTCACATCACATTTGGTGTTAAGTATTTACCAGGGCCAGTAGACATCACTATACGAAGGCAGCTACTCATTTTTACACTTGAGGCCTGTGTCCTTAGTGCCAGTTTTTTAATATTCTCGATAGCGTAAAAGTTAACTTAAATTATTATGACGTTGGATCGTTTCTCTGAGTTTGCCGCCAGGGGTGCTTTTCTGACTGCCTACGCATTCGAGTTAACTTTTACGCTATCGAGAACGTTAAAAAACTCGCACTAAATACACTGTTGTAAATTGATTTACTTTATGTAAATGTCTACAATATAAAAAAGTTTACTGTCTTTAATAACGCATTTCTAAGTTTTTCGAGTCTATTAACCTGAGCAATGGCTGAGCCAGATACTATCTCATACCAATTTAATCTTTTAATGTCTGTTTCCAGAATGGGACGTTCCTGGGTGCTATAATGATTTGCACCATGATAGTGTTCGCTGGGTTCCTCATTCTGTTCTCCCACATGAGCTCTTGGATGAAAGCGGTCTCCCAGGCCTCGTTTCTGAGATACAGCCTCGAAGCTCTGGTACTATCTTTGTATGGGTACGATCGGTCGCCTATGAAGTGCCCTGAGACGGCACTCTATTGTCCATTGAGGTAAATCCACTTAAAATCATATTATGTATTATACTGGTGGTAGGACCTCTTGTGAGTCCGCACGTGTAGGTACCACCACCCCGCCAATTTCTACTGTTAAACAGCAATGCCTTTCGGTTTGAAGGGCGGGGTAGCCGTTGTAACTATACTGAGACCTTAGAACTTATATCTCAATGTGGGTGGCGCATTTACGTTGTAGATGTCTATGGGCTCCAGTGACTACTTAACACCAGGTGGGCTGTGAGCTCGTCCAACCATCTAAGCAATAAAAAAAATAAAAAAAAACAGTAAAGGTGCCTTATTAGCGCTACCTCCATTCGCGTTTTCACTATACGCGGATTAAAAAAATGCGCCCCATTACCTATATTCGCGGCTAAAGATTTCTTTATTCGTAGAATTAATCGGTAGGTACATACACATTGATAAAAACGATACCAATAAGTACGTATCCAAACGAATATCCTTTGTAAACGCGGTTTTTCAAATTCACGGTTTCTGTATTAGCGTCATATTTATAGAACGTATATCTCGCGGATAAAGAGATTTTACTGTATAGCCTAATTTTTAATTAGCTAAGATGCTACAAGAGCGCTTGGACATAACAAAGTGTTTTTTACCTATTCGCTGGTAGCCTAAGAGGCTATTCCAGCTACGCCCGGACTGGTAGGTGAGCTCACGGGCTCTACCTGAGAGAATTTGCTAACACTAGCCCTAGCAAGAGCAGTGCATCGGGTAATCGCGACCCAGTGACAAGATCCGGCGAGAAACTCACTGGTCTCCATAACAAAAGTGATTGATGCAATGACCGACAACTGATGATCACTATTTTCTCCAGGTACTCAATGCAAGTCCTCACCGAGTTCAGCATGAAACAGAACAGGTACTGGATCGACGTTGGTATTTTGTTCGGTGTTATATTTGCTGTGAGGATTTTAGCATATTATTCATTGAAAAGGGCGGTCAAATTATCTACGTAGGTTCTTTTTAGCATTTGCAGAGTTAAATTGCGAAATGTTTTTCTTTTAAATTTCGGTGGTGAGGTCAAAATGCTCTTCTGATATAAAGTCGACATTCTCAGGCACAATGAAACTGTTCAGGCGTTGGATTTATAGGAATTTTTTTTTCGCGTGAACAATGAAGTTACCATATCTAGTTGTTTAGGTATGATATTATGTTTATTGATTTTTAGAAAATAAAATTCGGAGACTGTATTATTAATTTGTTAAGTAAGTTAAGTGTGAATTGAATTAAGACGGTATATTGACAGTTAATATTGACAGTTAATATTGACAGTTATATTGACATGTCAATTGAATTGAATTAAGGCGGTACTTAATATTGACAGCTCTTTATGTATTAAATTCTTGCCAATCTGTCAGATGAATAGTCATAATTGCCAACGTGGGACAACACAATTTTTTTTTTTAATAAATAGAAAAAAAATGTAATAGATAGTAATAATTACATTAGGCTAACATAGGTTAAGTTTTATCACATTTGAACTAATAAATGAATCTTGTTACTTGAAAATAATAAAGATTGTGATTAAAAATATAATGAAAGCTATAGATAAATATTAAAGCTATAGACACATAACAGTTTTTTTTTATACGGTAGATAGGGCTGTGAACTACACGAAAAGATCAAAAAGTAAAAATCTCAAAACCAACCACCAACCGCCGTCTGGTGTAGTGGTAAGTGACATGGTCACTACACAAGGGGGTCGCGGGTTCGAATCCCGCCAAGGGAAGATATTTGTATGATAAATATAAATGTCTTTTCCAGGGTTATGGATGTATATTAAATATATGTATGTGTATAATAAAAATCTTACATTTATATCCGTTATCTGGTACCTGTAACACAAGTTCTTTACGAACTTATCACGGGACCAGTTAACGTGGCGTGATTGTTAGTAAATATTTATTTATTATTATTATAATTAACCGACGTTCAGTTGATCCAAACGGATAAGACGTCTTACTGACATTCTCCCATATGACATGGTGAAGACTTTTTCCCCTACCTAATCCCTGGTAGCCTAAAGGGATATTCAAGCTATGCACGGTTTGTTATTTGAGTTCACGGGGATCAACCTGAAAAGACTTGCTAACTTGCCAACTAGCTTAGTAAGATAAGTGCTAGGCTGACTCAACGACCGGATCGCAATCGTGACTCACTTAAAAGATCCAAAGAAGTTTTGAAAAAAAAAAGAAAGTGATGTTGAAATTATTGATAACGCATTTTTGCGCACTGGGTTGGGTGCACGAGCCCATAACTAATGGTATGTGGTACCCCACCATAAATTCGATCTCATTCAACCTCTAATACCATAAAATAAAACTTTAAAACCTTAATCCGATTTATTAAAATGTATACATATATGATATATCATATTAAGATAATTTGTAGGCAGGATTTCTTTCTTTTAGTATTAAACTAAATTAAAATCACATGTAGTATTAATAACTAACTGTCTGTTTATTGAAATTTTATTAAAATATTATATATTCATGATATTTTAATCATTAATTTGTACAATAGTACAATGTTCCTCATTTTCTTCATCTCGTAAAGTATCAATTATTGACACAAGGAAGTAGTTCTGTGTTGCTACACAGGGTGTAGGTTAAATTACATCGTCTTTTAGATAATAATTATTGTAATTTAAAACAAATCAAATGATTGGTGAAACCTCATTAGTAAGTTGAAATTTGTTAAGCACGATGCTTTAAGGGATGGCAAAAATAAAAGAGCTTTTGTTTTTTTCAAATTGTATATTTTATTTATTTATTATCACAATGACGCTTACGTAAATATAAACCTTTGATGTGACAAATTTAAATATTACACTTTACGACATTCTATCTACGATTTCTCAGCTCGCAAAGATGGCGAACGGCCAAGAAGAAACATACATGTGTTTGTTCAGTCGCGCGTCACTACATTCCCGATCCCGCGAGCCGAATGGAAAGCAGTCGACGTCGCCCAAAACACGTCATTTCGGATCCTCCCAATCCACTAACGGTGCTTTTACGTGCCTCAAGCACAGGTCATCGTTCTCGTCGAACCCGTCGGTTGCGTCACTTTAAGCCATTTTTTTATGCAGTTGGAACAGCGCCCCTAACGACAAACGTAGGTAAACAATCCCATTCAATACAAATATGAGCTAACTTTTACGCTATCGAGAACGTTAAAAAACTCGCACTAAGCACACTGATTTTCTCAGTGGATCGCGTTTCCGATCCGGTGGTAGATTCTGCGAAGCACGGCTCTTGCTAGGGCTCGTGTTAGCAACGTCATCAAATTTGAGCCCCGTGAGCTCACCTACTAATTCGGCGAATCTAGAATAACCCCTCGAGGTTACTATAATAGGCGGGAAAAAAAACGCGTCATATTAAGTGTTTTTATTATCTATGGTCGCACGCACGCACGTGTCTATGCTTTCCACGGCCGCGTAAATTGCATTTCTATAACATGTGCGAAGTGATCTGGTATTAATTAAATAAATTCGGTTTTTAAAAGCACATTTGTACATTTGTATTTGTACTTTTTAAGAAGTCTCCGCTAGAGGTTTTCGTTTCTTTGTTTACATTCTAAAAGGCATTTATAATGTATAGAATGAATTATTTATAACAATTGTACTTATCAAACATTATTATTATGTTATTATATCAATAAACGAATCTGTGTTGTATTTACATTTTTGTAATTTATCGTTGCTACGATTCTACGCTTAGAAGCTATTTAAATGAGCTAAAGTCTGAACGTCTAAAGGCTAATAAGGCCCGTAATATCAAATTAAGATTAACAAAACGGATGAAGGAGCAAACTTGGTCTAAACTAGCCAAATAGCTGACATTTACCTTAGGGTACATAACATTTACTGACATTTACTTTGACACTCAAAACAGCTGTTGATTCCGAGCGGCCATTTTGAAAAGAACACTTTAAACTATGGAGGGTATAGGCAAAGAGAACCATCTCAGTATATTAAAAAGTGTCCACTGAAGGGCAGCAAATTAAGATGGCGCCATAGTAGCAAGTGAAAAGAATTTAAAAACAGCGCCATAAGCACATAGATTGTTTTTACGCTACCATGCGTGAGAGGTGTGCATCTCTGGTAAGCAGAGTGAGGGCCAGCTCCAACAGTATCCTGAGCATGATCTCAAGCAGGCTGGACTGTATATACATGGGTTGCTGTAGTGCCATCTCCCATGGGATGTTACGACAGTAATTCATTGTGATGTAAATATGACTACTAACATAGGTCTAAGTCTTATTAACAATTTATAGGAGTCATGGTTACTTGCAATAAAAACATTATTATTATAAGCTACCAAACTTCTGGTATATTCCGATTTGCACTGCGAGCACTGTAAGGTGTGACGTCAAATTAGTATACTGGGAAGCCGTTCCTTTACAGAACAGTATACTGTCATCGACGTTGTCATGTCGGTGTTTTCACTTCAGCAAAAACAATCATGTTTAAATTTAGTTTTGAAAATAGAATATTCAAGTTATTGTCAGTTGAATTAATCGCTAAAAGTAAGTATATTTTTTAATAAAAGAAAATATTGTTTTTCAAGCAATTTAATCTATAATAACTTAATAAACGTATTATTGAAATGAGGTTATGCACGGTAAAAGTGATGAAGTGAAGATTTATGAAATCATGTATCATTCCTCCATTCCATTCATTCTCCCATTCCACTCATCATCATGTATCATCAATCATTCCTTAAATTACTGCGACTGTATACTGTCAGTCATTAACGTAGGTAACGAATAGCAGTGAGAGCACTGAACAGTGTTCGTAGTGTAAATCGGAGCATAGCCTTCACCGCAATCCAGCACACTTAAATCGGTTTAAAACTTCTATATTCGTGCTATTTCCCCTTGCTACACTAGCGCTAATTCGGTGAGTTTTCGAACTATAATTTTCTGTTTACAGATAGGCACTTTTTCAACTTGTCCCCTATACAAGATGGTGCTCCTTACCTCTACCCTCCATACTTTAAACCAAACTTAAGGTTTGTCGCAGCCGTTAACGTTTAAACGTTTTTAAGCTATGAGATAGTTCAAACCCCGAAGATTAATTTAACTATGATTGAAATTATAAATAATTGATCTTCAGTGACCGTTTACGTCTTCAATTTTAGTTTAACTACGTTTGATATTAAGGGCTTTAGACGAACCAGAGATACAGTTGAAGCCGTAAAAGTAGTTTTAATTAAATAACATAATATTTAAATTACACAGTATTTACTCGACAGGTTTTTTTGTATTGATCATACTCTATAAGAATCAATTAAGCATCAAAACAAATGAAAAAAAATCTATTTTTAAAACTTAAAAAAAAAGAAAACATTACATTCTCATTAAAATTAAGTTCTGTTTGATTTACAGCCTTTTCATAGATTTTTTGACAGACAGTTCAATAATTACAATTTTCTAAATAATGACCTTAATATTATGCATTGAATGCATACGCCTTAAATAAATGCAAAATTTAACTCGATACAATAATATCAATATACAAATACTATATGGTAATATTTATTAAAACATGGTAAGTTTTTTGTAGTTTTTTTTTTATTGTCTAGAAGACAGTTGTATTTTTTTTTATTGTCTAGAAGCTTAGATCTCCAGTAAAACACTTTTGAATCACAAAGCATCTAGTGAATTGCAAGTATATTTTTTTAATTATTTTAACTTCAACTGCAACTTAAAACTTGCTAGACAATCTAAAAAATACGATGTCTTTACTTACGTATATACCATACGAGCTACCAAATATATGCCGCTATATCATCACCATTGTCATCAATCCAACATTTAACTATCAAATTCTTGTTTTTCAAAAACCTACAGATTCTATTTTACTCACGTAAAATAATGGGTTTCTGGTTGTGGTGGTTTCCTTGGGCAGGAAGCAAGCGACTACCATTCCCACTGTAAACAAGACAATATTCATTATAAAAATCCATGAATGAGGCTGTTAGCCAAGTCTCGACGAGTCAGTACCCAGCTAACGCTTAGCAACTCAATACATTCGACAAACTTTATGAATAAGTTCATTTTTACAATGTTCAAAGCATATTGTGACATTATTGATAACTAAAACAGGGAGTCTACAGCCTTCGATGTCCTAGATACGGCCTCACCGACCCTTCTGATCCATCCTCAGAGCTGATTGACAATACTAATAGCACCAACTAAAGCACAGGTCAGCGAACTCATCGAACTCGCCGAAAAGTTTGAAGTGTAATTATTATTATTATTATTATTATTGCTTAGATGGGTAGACGAACTCACAGCCCACCTGGTGTTAAGTGGTTACTAGAGCCCATAGACATCTACAACGTAAATGCGCCACCCACCTTGAGATATAAGTTCTAAGGTCTCAATATAGTTACAACGGCTACCTCCCACCCTTCAAACCGAAACGCATTACTGCTTCACGGCAGAAATAGGCCGGGCGGTGGTACCCACCCGTGCGGACTCACAAGAAGTCCTACCACCAGTAATTACGCAAATTATAATTTTGCGGGTTTGATTTTTATTACTCGATGTTATTCCTTCACCGTGGAAGTCAATCGTGAACACTTGTTAAGTACGTATTTCATTTGAAAAATTGGCACCCGCCTGCGGGATTCGACCGCCGTTCCATCGCTCGATACGAATGCACCGGACGTCTTATCCTTTAGGCCACGACGACTTCAAAACCATACCAAGAGTCCGCTGAGTTTCTCGTCTAATTCTCTTAGTGAGTGGCGATTCCCATCTGATGGCCTATTGCTATTAGGTTTCGATTCGGGCAGCTTTTATCAAACCTTTCCCTGCACGGCTGAACCCTCGAGTACGCGTATCCCTCCTGAACAAGTTACAAGGTGGCAATTCCAAAACTTTTCTGCCGTTAAGGGCGACCAGCTAATCTGGGTTTCAGTAGTAGCCGGAGCCCGCAAACCTCACGATAAGAATGCCACCACCCACCTTGAGACCGAGGTCTAAGAATAGTAAAACGGCTGCCTCAACCCTTCAAACAGGAAATCATGTTTGTTTTGCTATAAACGACGACACGACCGTAAAGCTATACCCAAAAATTAAATTACTTCAAAAATACATCTTCGCTTACCAAATACAAAAATGGACCAGCTTAAGAACGTGGCTCGACAGTGCTGCACTATTGTACTGCCCACTATATTGATACCGACCATCACCGTCATCCTAGCAAACATTGACCCCAGACTGGTGCTAAGACCTCTGTGAAACAACATTAAACATTAATCATTCGATTCTAAAACGACCTGCCCTCTGGAGCATTTTTAAAACGCAATGACCTTTTTCTATTGAGATTTTTAGAGTCCTTGGCTATAGGCAGTGACTTGTATTTACGTCTGGTGATCCTACAGTAACCACTGACTATGAACCAACTAAGCTGTACGACGATACGATGTCTATGCTTCTAAGGCAAAACTCCGCAATGTTTTCGGAATTAGATACGACTAACCTGTACAAATTGTATGATTGTATATCTTCTATATCTATATATATAAAAATTTATTGCTGTTCGTTAGTTTAGCTAAAACTCGAGAACGGCTGCACCGATTTGGCAAATTTTGGTCTGGAATTATTTGTGGAAGTCCAGAAAAGGTTTCAAAGGTAGATAAATATGAAAATGCTCGGCATTAAATAAAAATAACAATTTTGTTTTCTCTTTGATGTGTCCCCCGTCGGACGGATTCCTTTTGTTTGTTTTAAGTTTATTTTATACAAAAGTTTAGGTGTTTTATTTATCGATTGAGGGACTACCAAGTCTGCCGGGTCAGCTAGTTAAAGATAAATTTCGGTGAAGCCGCATGGCCTCCTGATGTCATTGGGAGTAGATAGAGAAAAAAAAAAACAGTTAGATATATGCGTCATTCGCTCGCTGTATCGCATGACACGAGACCATTGAACTTTTTTTTGGACACGTCAGTTCATTCTCATTTGTATTACAACTTGAACAACCCAAAAAATAGTTAATATTTTCCGAACATAATGTTCATTGTTTTTGAGAACCATAGACCTACTTAAAACCAAATGTATCAATACATTTATAAATATCCGGATAATGAGTGATTCAGAAACTATTGATTGCTTTCAAGAAATGAGGAGTATTATAACAAATCGTAATGAATTTAAAATGAAAACGCAAAATAAAATTACGATTATAAATTGCTATTTCATTACTTTACATTTCATTCATTACCCTCGATTATGGGTTAGTTTTACTGTATTCATGACCACGGTGAACGCACGGCTTACTGTTGTAGGTAACTAAATTAAATGGATTCTAAGAAACAATAGAATCATCAGTCGCACAAAACGTAATCCGACAGACCCCGACAAATAAAACAAAAATCAATACATTTTAATTGAAAAGTTCTAGATTCGACATAGTTTTTAATAAAAATACATGTGGAAGAGTAGAGGCAAGGCGAATTATCTTAAATGGGAATCAAACTTTAATTCGGAAGCCCAAATAGAATTGCGCTACGGCAAGTGGAATGATCTGAATTTACCAGATATTTTTTTAATTGAACTAATTTTTGAATGACACTTTTTATACACAGAATTTGCGCTTCTTGCCTCTACTCTCCATGCAAATATACCAACCTGAATGACGTAGGATATACGTCAACAAAATAAGACGCGACGTTCCCAGCCGACAAGCCCACCAGCTGGATCAGTATGAACAGCAACAAGCTGATCACTGGCTGCTCAACTAGGTCCACCACGACAGTGCTCATGCCGGATATGAGCAAGGTACCAACGAGTACGCTCTTCCTCCACGATGTGATCATAGAGGCGATGTAGTTGATAATTGTGAAGAACAAACTGAACGCCATCCCAGAAAATATGGTGTTGTCGGCGATGACGTCATTGCATGTTTCCTGTCAATAGAAACGTAGTGTTTAAGAAAACGTAAACTTTATGTCTACTTACATAAGTATGTTTTTAATGGTGGTAGGACCTCTTGTGAGTCCGTGCGGGTAGGTACCACCGCCCTGCCTATTTCTGCCGTGAAGCAGTAATGCGTTTCGGTCTGAAGGGTAGGTTAGCCGTTGTAACTATACTGAGATCTTAGAACTTTTATCTCAAGGTGGGTGGCGCATTTACGTTGTAGATGTCTATGGGCTCCAGTAACCACTTAACACCAGGTGGGCTGTGAGCTCGTCCATCCATCTAAGCAACAAAAAAAAAACTTATGTGTTATTTTCCAGATTAGTGGGCAATGTCTGTATACGTACAAAAATATGTATATTAGTCTCTGGTTCCCATAGTACAGAGAATCCTCGTTTGGGGCCAAGTGCCCGTGTCTGACATAACGCCAGTGTCCCTCCTCAGCATTTATATTGTGATACCCATGAGCTATGTAAATAACACGTTAAACAATAGCTCGTCAAAAGCGTGTTACGAAATTTAAGCAATGTGCCTTTGAGATTCCTACGCATATCGATCTTCGAAAAACGGAATGCATAAGTAAGTGTTTGTTTGTTTATTTATGATCGATCGAAGATTTAAAATGAATTTGGAGATCATCAGCGTGACGCGTTCTATTTGTACACACTTATAACAATAACGATTCTACCCCATTTCACAACTAATTCCGATGCTTTTTCACGAAATGTTTTTTTTATTGTTTGCTATTTTAATATTTTGTAGAAAACAATGCTCAAGGTTAACAATATAAAAACATCCGTATAGTTTTTATACAAAAAAACAAAATACAAAATGCTACATCTTATAATCGATAAAATCGTCAATCATTATTAAAATATATTCGAATACAGTAGGTAATCGATAACATATTTTTTTTGTGATTTTATAAAGTGACCTAAATATCACATGTTTTTTTGAGTTCAAACATACGAAATAATAGTTAATTAATATTTAAAAAAAATATATCCAATTTAAATCCACCATAAAAAATAATACACGAAATTAAATCGGCCGTTGTATTTATTAGCAAATAACACTTAGATTGAACGTGTCACTGTTTGTATTGCGATGATGTGTGTAACTACATACTCATTATCTTTGACGCCCACCTGTTTAAATATTCGTTAAGCATCTAACAAGTGAACTGATAAATTTAACAAAGTAACATGGCATCGTTTTTTTTTCTTTATCGCCTATAAATAAAATCCTCTGATAGACTAGATATTAAATGCTTGTTTTGTTTAAGAAAGTATAAAATAAAACTAAATTTGCTTCGATGATAGTTTGTTGGAAGTTATGGATAGGTTAATCGTGAATAATGAAAAATACGATCAGTTTACATTTAATCAAGCATATAGGATATGCGATATCGATAAATAAAAGACCTAAACTTTTGTATAAAATAAACTTAAAACAAACAAAAGGAATCCGTCCGACATATCAAAGGGAAAACAAAATTGTTATTTTTATTTAATTCCGAGAATTTTCATATCTTCTTTCTACCTTTTAAACCTTCTCTGGACTTCCACAAATAATTCAAGACCAAAATTAGCCAAATCAGTCCAGCCGTTTTCGAGTTTTAGCATGACTAACGAACAGCAATTCATTTTTATATAGGTATTAAAGATGAGGCCTATGCTTCTTTTTCCACGCATGGAATTTGTTTTTGTAGGCATGACCGGTAGTGCTCGAGAAATTCTAACAAAAACGATGAGTTATGACTGCAATCCACTTCAAAGCCATTAGAGGCAAATGTTAAAGTGACAAAATTATAAAACAAGCTAATCTGTTACTGGTGCAAAGTTTACTGGTGGTAGGACCTCTTGTGAGTCTGCACGGATGGGTACCACCGCCCTGCCTATTTCTGCCGTGAAGCAGTAATGCGTTTCGGTTTGAGGGGTGGGGTAGCTGTTGTAACTATACTTGAGACCTTCGAACTTGTATCTCAAGGTGGGTGGCGCATTTACGCTGTGGGCTCCAGTAACCACTTAACACCAGGTGAGCTGTGAGCTCTTCCACACATCTAAGCAATAAAAATAAAACTTACAAACTATGATTCAATTTTGTGCAGAGAATTGAACATAGTTTTTGTCAATCTTTAAATTTGTTTTTCAATAAGAAGACATGTATGTGGTGGAGCTGTTTTATCCGTACCTACCTATCCGCTGGTAGCCTAACCGGTTATTCCACCTACGCAGACATTTAGATGATCTCACGTACTGAACCTCTGTTAATTTGCTAACACTAGCCCTAGCAAGAGCAGTGCTTTGCAGAATCTATCATCATCATCATCATCAGCCTTTATCTTTTTTTTTTATTGCCCTTGTAGGCAGACGAGCATATGGCCCACCTGATGGTGAGTGGTTACCGTCGCGCAAGGACTTCAGCAACGCCAGGGGCAGAGCCAAGCCGCTGCCTACCGCTTAATACTCTCCACAAGCCTCTTTTAAAGTAGGTAGGACATGTCATAGCGCTCGGGAAACACCGTGGAGGGGAGCTCGTTCTATAGCCGGATGGTACGTGGCAAAAAAGACCTCTGGAAACGCACTGTCGATGATCGGAGCGGTTCCAGATAATATGTACGAACTCTGCTCCGATGGCGGGAGGTGCGATGATAAAAAGGAGATCTGCCACTGCTGGACATTGGCCTTCCCCAATGCCTTCCACATAATGCGGTCCTCCGCTTTCCGCATCCAACGACTTTCCGCCGTGCGCACTAAGTCGTTGGTCCACCTGGTTGGAGGACGCCCCACGCTCCTGGTACCCAACCGTATATTATATATATCCATCTATCACCGGATCGGAATCGCGGCCCACTGAGAAAATTCGACCAGAAGCATGGATTGTGTCTATGAGTTAGTTCGCTTTCGTTATTTAATGTATTGGTTCGCTATACAAAAGTTAAGTCGGTCAATGAAAACACTTAATTCACTGACGGTTACGTCTTCAATGCTCTTTAGAGATTTACAGAATCAAATCAAATCAAATCAAATCAAAAAAAATTTATTCAACATAAATGAAAGTACATACTTGTTGAACGTCAAAAGAACTACCGCCAATACACAAGAACTAGCCTCCGTCCTGAGAAGAATTGGCAAGAAACTCAGCGGGCATGTCTTTTTTTTTTTTTAATAAGAAATTATTATTTATTAATTTTTTAATATTCGATTTTTTTTTAAATATGAATTTTATACAATGAGTATTATAACGTAACAATTACTACAATATTGAAATGCCCGGAGCGAGCAACTCATTCCCACTTTGTGCAATCTTCTAGATAATCATTGACTTTATAGTAAGCTTTATTGCACAGATGGTCTTTAACAGTTTTCTTAAACCTATGTATATGTAGGTTCTGAACATCTTGTGGGATTTTGTTGTACAGGCGCACAGACAAACACCCGAATGAATTTCGTATCTTATGTAACCTACTCATCGGCACAACAAGCTTGTGTTTGTTCCTAGTATTTCTATTATGTATGTCCGACTTTTTAGGAAACTCCTCAAAATGTTTACGATCATATTATGTTTATTCGGTTTTGATATTATAATACAGAGAAGTGCGATTGAGGCTAGCGGCCTGAGGATTCCGGTTGCAAGCTAAGGCTCTTCGTAAGCAACGCTATACAAACCCCAAGTAATATAATCTTGTAGGTGTGTTCTCCGTCTGTTAGTCTCTCTGTCGGTTTGTTCGTCACTCAAAATCATTTTTCTCGGGAACGGGTATTGAAAAGTATATAATTGTAATTAGTACAGAATCCTAAGATCCACGGTGGATAGAAGTTTTAGTAATCTCCTCGATCATCAATAGTAACTAGATAAAGGGACACGTACAAAATTAAAGCAAAAGCTGTCCGCGTGAATATACACATAAATAGCTACATTCGTTTACAAAAAAACCGAGGAAAAAGTTTTGAAACAGTTTTAAGTTCAAACTAATTACAACTATGGCACCTTGTAATAAAGTCACAAATCTCCAAAACATTGTCTAATACTTACAATGTAATTTTGTTCAAAATTTAATATTATTTATTAGTTTAAAGCTTAAATTGTAGTTTATACTTCATGTACTTACCGAAAGTAAGATACACCGGCCGTTAAATTGCTTTTTCGGGCATTATTTTTGCAACTTTTGAATACACACTGCGGCATTGTGAGACGGGTGAGACGGATGGAAGAGCTCACATTTCAAATGAGCCGTTATTTGACGAGACGGATTTTCTGCACCGACCCGAAATCTAGTTACTATTGATGATCGAAGATATTACTAAAACTTCTTTCCACCGTGGATCTTAGGATCAAGCTCAAGCTTCTCAATCAAAACAATTACAGCAAAACATTGATCTTATAAGGTTTCCCTTTGACTCACGAATACCGAAGCCCGAACAGTTTCATTTATTCTTACATACATTTCTAGAATGTAGATTAGAATGTATAGAAGGTATTTTGTTGTTTAAATGAGTGGAAGAGCTCCGGTCTAGCTGGTGTTAATTGGTTACCCGACTAAATAGACATGAATAACGTAGATACTACCACCTACCTTAATACATGAGTTCTAAGTCTTGGTTTTACAGTACAACGGCTGCCCGACCTTCCAAGCCAAAACACTACTTCGTAGCAGAAATAAGCAGGGTGGTGGTACCTACCCGAGCGGGCTCACAATATGCCCTACCGCCTTTTTTTTCCAACCTAAGCTGATAGCCTTAACCTGACGACGTTGCTAACACGAACCCTAGCAAGAGCCGTGCTTCGTAGAATCTACTACCGGATCGGAAACGCGACCCACTGAGAAGATCCGGCGAGAAACTCAGTGGGCTGTGTCTGTGGGTGCGTATGCCCTACCAGCAGTAATGTGTGAGTTTTGTGTAAGTAACTATAGTAAATAGCATGTGTATGTTTGTATCACATACAATACATAGTAGGCGCACCTACCGTGACCTTGTTTACATGTTTTTTGCTTGTTTAACAGTGAACAGCTGATTGATGTATGAAGACCGCCAATGTATAGAAATGCATTAAGCATATTAGAGAAATAACGTTTGAATAATAGTAATTATAATGAGAATGAGTATATCAAAGGAAGAGTCAAAGTAGCCTCGGTAATTAACAAATTAAAAAGCGGACGGTTAGCGTAATATGGACATGTGATGCGTAGAGAGAAGATGCGTGTAACTAGGAGATGTATGGAAATGGTAGTGCAAGGTAGAGGGGGAAGAGGTCGACCGAAGAAGAAGATGGAGTGTGTGAATGACGATATGACAGCGAGAGGAGTTAGTGGTGAGATGACGGTTGATAGAAGAGAATAGAAAAATTCGCTATGCCGACCCCACCCAGTGATGGAGAAAAAGAAGAAGAATAGTAATTAGAAATGTTGAGTTCATTAAACTCTTACAGCAGCCGGCCTCAGTGTACCAAAGCACCGCTGTAGCCCTCGCGTATCGTAATTTCCGATCGTGTTACATTGCGCGCTCACAAAAAATATATTTACAAATATGACTCACTGACGCAAATCCGCGGTATCGTTTTCAGGAACGCCCACATTACTGTATCTTAAAATAATCCCAGTAAACAAAAACTATTTTCACGATCTTCGAACACAACTTCGTATCTACGCATGTATAAGTTCACTTAAAATTGCTTACCCCTAAATGTACGTCCGCAGTGATGTTCGATGTTATTTTATCGCAGAAGCTCGCCGTGGCATTGGACGGTGCGTTGTAGAACGAGTTGACAATGGTCGGGAACCAAATGTAGAAAACGTTGTTACTGTAATAAGATTAAATCATCACAGTATGTCTCTCCTGTGCGTTACGTTGCGTTTTTTTGACGTGACAACGTCTTATAATTCGATGGAGCCGGCTGCACGCACGAAAAAACATGACTCATGCGGCGTTACCTCGCTCTGAGGTGTACATGTTTTCGTCAAGTATGAAGTTCAGTGAAAAGTGAATGTGGTGTCAATCGTTTATAGCAACGATAATTGCGATAATTGAAAAATGAAACAATTCCATCAGTAGTTTCTTATGACGTTGTCACGTTCAACTATCGTCAGTAAACAGACTTTACAGACAACCGATTTTTTTAAGCACGCCTTTTCCAACTTGCCTTTTAAGTATTTATGTAACTGATTGATCAACTTGAAAATTTGTACATATATCAAAGACAGATTAGAATCTCTCTTTCAGACCACAGACGTCCACTGCTGGACATAGGCCGCTCCTAAACCTCGCTACAACGATCCGTCCTGCACTCTTTACATCCAGCAGATCCGTACGAGTCTCATTAGTTCGTCGGCCCTCGTTGTGGGTAACCTACCCACGCTACACCGATTAGCATACAATAATTATATTACTCTCACGTAAAATGCTGGCCAGAATAAAAACCTACTAATATCTAGTTCGGCTTGCTGTTAAAGAGTGTTATTTTTATTTTTTAAGTTAAATTTTATCTTTTACATCTCTAAATAATTATTACCCTAATTTATGGCACCACTCTGGAAACAAGAGGTTCATATAAACTTCCACAAGTAAAATATTTTTCTGATACAAACGCCACTTCCACAAAAAAATTGTTCTCTCGATAAAATCTTAACATAGTGAATAAGAGAGACCATAGTCTACTAGGCGATACACCTAAAGTGCTCTTATTCAGCATCCCAACTTTACCTTAATGGCTTAAGAAGGCTACAATTTTTTTTGTCATTTAATAAATAAAAACTGATTGTTGTATAGACTAGAATCCATAGGGATTCCCCTACTCTGGGCTCTACAATGCTTACATCAATTAGATTGGAGCCCACTTCACTGAACTACGTAGGTATTTCATTTAAAAATAATTCTTTAGAAGCAACCAGTTCACTCACGTGCTAGTACAGACGGCTAGAAGAAAGAAAAGCTGTAGAGTCTTCATCAAATACGGTCTACTGAAGATGGGCGCCGTCTGCTGCCATAATGACATCATAAAGGGCAGCTTTCGTTCGTTTCCCGTATCCTTGGTAACGGTGAGTAGTGATTTCTGAAAGATTAATTCGTTTTAATAATTAATAACAAAAAAAATAATCTTAAACACAAATCATTAAAAAGCAATAACATAGTTTCAATCTAATTGCAACAAAAATTACTATGAATTTCATAAATGAATATTTATCTATTTTTAATGACCGGGCGATTACAACTAATTGGTTTAGTAGGTAGCAATCTTACTTTAAGTGTAAATAAACTTAAACGAGTTATTTAATTCCAAAGTTGCCATAATAATTAATATAAAGTCTAAACTAATGGAATAATTCCACAAAATAAAGAAGGAGCTCTGGATTTTTATTCGTGAGATAAAAATGTATACCACGCAATGTAACACAATTATTAATTTGAGGCGCCGCTTTAACGAACTCAGTTCTAAAGTTCGTGGCATATTTATTGAATTAAAAGACAAGTACCTACATACATACATATGTTGAGATTAGTAAATATTGCTTGGTACTGCTTATCTAAGTAAATGATCACCTATATTATAATTATCCATCCAAACATTTTCTAAGATAAACTTTTATGAACTTCGAACAGTAATTTAAACCTCTCATCAGAAATAACTCCAAAAAGTTGCACTAAGCACCACAAGATCCACGTCGCGGTCCTTGAGGCCGTATCCTGTCTTCATAACCTCCAAGGCTTCGTCGACACGTCCTTTGGTCGCCAGAAACTTGGGGCTCTCGTGCAGGAAGAAGATAACGAAGCCTCCAACAGCCAGCATTACTGCCATGACCAGAGTCAGCAATCGCCAAGGACGGAATGTTATGGCCAACCAGGGTAGAGGTATTTCGAATTGTAGGCCCAATATTAAGTAGGCCAGTGCTGAAAAGTAAATTCCAGGTCATATTAGGATTTCCACAGGAGAAAATCGCCGGATCCCCACCCGCACGGCAGGTGGGGTATGTGAGAGTCGAACCTCACTAAAAACTCCTGCCGCTCACAGCCGGCGCCCTACCCCGGACCGGGTAGGAACACAGTCGGAGCTATTGAGACGGCGGGACAGGGTTTACGCAGAACACATAACATCTATCCCGAGGTCATATTAGGATAGCAGACATTGGTGAAAGACAGTGGATGATTATTGGGAATTTTTTAATTATAATTCGTTCAATTAAAAAGTTCTAGTTAAGTTATAGATTATAGAGTTATAACACCACATCTCGAATGCGTCTATACGTGTTCGGTTGGCCTTTCTTATGGTCTACGTCTCTGCGCATAACGGAGGAATACTGGTGTGTTCACGAGGCGTATTTTTGTTTTTTTTTAGATATATATCATACACCTTTCAGCCCAAATCCGGTCGAGTTGGGGCATAGTGTTTTGGCGATACCGATGCGTCTTCTTATGTCAGGTTCGCACGAACCATTGTTGGTAATTGTGGCTTCAAGATATACTAAATTGTCCACCACTTTCAAACCAAGTGCGCCGAAGGGTTGAGGGTGCCATTTTGGTCAATAACCACTATTTTAATCTTGGATTTGTAAAATTTGAGGCCCATTTCGTCGCTAATGCGTTCCATTGATTTTATTGCTAGCCATACATAAATTAAGTTTCAAACGGCCAGTACTGTAAAACGGCAATTTCATAGATAAAGATCTATTATTTAAATGGTATGTTTACATTCTACATGTATTACCTACACTCTATGTAATTTTAAGCCTATACAATATAAATTGGAATGTTGCCTTAAATATCTCAAAATTTCCTTTTTTGAATTGTGATAAGCGGTGATGGAGGTCCCTTAATTTTAGTATCGACATGAGTTTAGAATGTTTTTTTTTTATTGCTTAGGTGGGTGGACGAGCTCACAGCCCACCTGGTGTTAAGTGGTTACTGGAGCCCATAGACATCTGTACCTACTACATCTGTACCTGAATGTACCTACTACAAGTACATATGTATCGGGCTATTTATTCTTTTTTACTTTCTTCGTGTAGTACGAATAGTGAATGAGCAAATGAGCTCACGTCTATCCGATGCTGACGGAGCTCCTAAATACCTCAATCGGTACACAGCCTACTACATACCACACTACTACACAAAACGTCAAAAAACTTCTAAATTACATTGAAATAATCGTATAGTTTAAAACCAAGATGACATTTTGCTTTACTATTACAAAATGAACACAGTACTTATTATTACTGCGACCCAAATTTGAAATTATGAAAGAGAATTATTATTATTGGTGCTAGTGAATTTAGTATTTTTGCAATACTAGTGTATCCAATCGATTCTTTTTAATCTGAATCAAATTTATGCATAAAGGTCAACGGCGGATTTAATGCCTGAGGCATTCTCTACCAGTCAACCAAGGTAGGTGTAGAGAGATCTGTGGTAGGTGCATTCTCTCAATCTATAATTAAAAGACCTAAACTTTTGTATAAAATAAACTTAAAACAAACAAAAGGAATCCGTCCGATGGGGGACATATCAAAGGGAAAACAAAATTGTTATTTTTATTTAATTCCGAGCATTTTCATATTTATCTACCTTTTAAACCTTCTCTGGACTTTCACAAATAATTCAAGACCAAAATTAGCCAAATCGGTCCAGCCGTTCTCGAGTTTTAGCGAGTCTAACGAACAGCAATTCATCACTACATAGTATAAAACAATGTCGCTTTCTCTGTTCCTACATCCCTATGTATCTTAAATCTTTAGCTTAAATCTTTAAAACTACGCAACGGATTTTGATGCGGTTTTATTTAATAGATAGAGTGATTGAAGAGAAAGGTTTATATGTACAATAACATCCATTAAATGGTGGAGAAATCAATAATAAATTACAGTTTCCGAAGCGAAGCGAGGGCGGGTCGCTAGTTTTTATATATATAGATTTTAGAACAACTTACCGTAGCAAATGAAATCAGATATTAGATTGAAACAGTTGAGGATTAACAGGTATCTAGTCCTGTTCCTCGTTCCCGTGCACTCCCCCAAATAAGTTATCGAAAGCGTTATTGAAGCTGTGGAACTGAAATGCACAATACAAGAAACTGAAACAACAAAATTATATTATGGAAAATTAGTTTTTTTTAGTGTCCTACCTAAGCTGGTAAACTAAGGGGTTATGCCGGCATAACCGGGCGAGTTATTTCCATGATGACCTGGAGCTTGACTCGGTCAGTAAGTATATACAGTCGGCACCATTGCGCCACTTTGAGAAGGCAGCACGACACGATAACCCTCTTGTCGTGGTCGCCAGAAATTACATACCCGATCCTGTGGACCGAATGGTAAACAGTCGACGTCGCCCTAAGAACGTCATTACGAATCCTCCCGATTCATTAACGGTGCTTTTAGGTACCACAAGCACCGGTCACCGTCCTCGCCGAATCCGACTCTTGCGACGAAGGGCTCGACAAGTAAATTAACCCATAGACACAGCCTACTGAGTTTCACGCCGGATCATCTCAGTGGGTCGAGGTTCCGATCCGGTGGTAGATTCTGCGAAGCACTGCTCTTGCTAGGGCCAGTGTTAGCAACACTTCCGGTTTGAGCCCCGTGAGCTCACCTACACGCAGACCTACAGGGTGAAGCTGAAATAGCCTCTCAAAGCTATCAGGATAAGTAGGGGAAAAGAAAGACGGGCGAATAGGTGAGCTTACGGAGGTGCGCGTTAGGTGAGCACACGGTGAGCTTAGCCTGAGGAATTTGCTAACACTAGCCCTGGCAAGAGCAGTGCTTCGTAAAATCTACCACCAGATCAGAATCGCAATCCACTGAGAAGATCCGGCGAGAAACTCTGTGGGCTATGTCTGAGGCTAGCGTGATTTAAAAAAGGTAAATCATACGGATTCCTTCAAATTAAATGTCCAAATGGTTGTTTGTTTGAGCACTTCTTAAATACGTTATAATACTTTTATACTGGTGGTAGGATCTCTTGTGAGTCCGCGCGGGTGGGTACCACCACCCTGCCTATTTCTGCCGTGAAGCAGTAATGCGTTTCGGTTTGAAGGGTGGGGCAGCCGTTGTAGCTATATTGAGACCTTAGAACTTTATCTCAAGGTGGGTGGCGCATTTACGTGGTAGATGTCTATGGGCTCCAGTAACCACTTAACACCAGGTGGGCTGTGAGCTCGTCCAACCATATAAGCAATAAAAAAATAATAAAAATACTTGACTGATGAGCCTAGAAATTGAGTTCCTTTCATGGCTGATCGAATTTGGGCTTATTATATGTATATTAATTGAGTTCTATTCTATTTTAGATTTGCAACAAATTTCTTAGATGTGTGTTCGTTAGTATTCGTAATTTCTAATAAACGAATAACACTTTAGTAGTTAGTGGTGATTAACTGAGCTACATTAAAAACCAGGTCACGGAGACTTGCCTCCGTCATTTTAATGACGTAACGTAGGAAAAACTAAATTATCTAAAATGGATTAAGATTACCATTAATATTTTTTTACTTTTATTTGTCCACTAGCGACCCGCCCTCGCTTCGCTTCGGAAACATTAAAACACACATGAAAAAAAAAAAAAAAAAAAAAATTTAAAAAAAGTAGCCTATGTTCATCAGGGACAATGTCGGCTTCTAATGGAAAAAGAATTTTTCAAATCGGTCCAGTAGTTTCGGAGCCTATTCGAAACAAACAAACAAACAAATCTTTCCTCTTTATAATATTATATAATATAATAATAGTATAGATAACAGTGTATTCACCTAACATCTTCAAGCTAATATTTAGGGCAGAAAAGTTTCTTAAATGTTGAAATGGTCGGTCAAATATATGCTCTGCCCATCAAACAAGAATTGCAAACTTAAATGGAATTTTTGTTTTTATATTTAAGGTGAGATTTAGGCGCGAGAACCTACGTCCAGAGGTGTATAATAAAATCCACGTCACAATTAACATCAATGCCCCCCAATAAGAACGTAATTAAATTGTTTAATTGTAATTATGGCAAAAGGATTTTTTCATAAGTATAAGGAAAAGGATGGACGACAGTCCAGTTATAACGGTCATACAGCGAACACATTAACATTGGGCTCACCCAAAAAAAACAATCCCTCATTTTGAAAATTAATCTGACAGAACTGAGAGTTACTTACAAGAGACATCCAAGTAGTTTCAAAACCAGCATCATCGTGAAAGATGTCGAGAAAGTTGTTAGTGTAGCGAAAACGGCACCCACTGATGTTGATATTAATATAGCCTTCCTTCTACCGTGCGTGTCAACATAGTAGCCCCATGGCAACGCGGAAAGGTAACCTGAAAATGTATTTATGTATCTGATTGTTCTTTGTTTCTATTCTTAATGCTAGTTTTTTTTATTTATTTATTGCTCAGGTGGGTGGAGGAACTCACGGCCCACCTGGTGTTAAGCAGTTACCGGAGCCATCTACAACGTAAATGCCGCCACCTACATTGAGATATGAGTTCTAAGGTCTCAGTATAGTTACAACGGTTGCCCCACACTTCAAACCGAAACGCATTACTGCTTCACGGCAGAAATAGGCAGGGTGGTGGTACCTACCCGCGCGGACTCACAAGAGGTCCTACCACCAGTAATTACGCAAATTATAATTTTGCGGGTTTGATTTTTCTACACGATGTTATTCCTTCACCGTGGAAGCCAATCGCGAACATTTGTTAAGTACGTATTTCATTAGAAAAATTGGTACTTGCCTGCGGGATTCGCACACTGGTGCATCGTTATATACGAATGCACCGGACGTCTTATTCTTTAAGCCACGACGACTTCAAAAGTATTTTTTATAGTACGTACTAGTAAGTACTATTTGTATAGTACTTATTACATCTCATTTTAGTGGGATAACGACGCATATGAGCATCAAATTTTTGCTAGCCTATATTTACTGGTGAACGCTCATGGGTTGGTGATAAAAAGAGATGATGGTAATCATATTAGTATAAACCACGAAGAACCAAAGTCCTTACTTGGCCCGGATTCTTCAAGCGGGTGGCTTGAAGAATCCGGTGAGATCAGAAAAGTTGGGATCTCTGGTGTGTCGTTTGTCTGCCGCAAAATAATTTTCTAATTCCGCTATATGAGTTTTAAAAAACCTTAAAGCATAATTGTGTTTGTACTGGGCGTGTCTGGATTTGTCATATTAACCTTATGTTTTATATCTCAAAGCGTAAGAAGAGAATCTGCCTATCGAAACCAAAATAAGCTTAGCCCATGATCGTGAGATCGTGAGCTAAATTGCTCGTAATGCATTACACAACCTTACGTTCTTCTGCTGAATAACACTCGCAAAACAGCTAATCTTCAGCTATTAAGGCTCATTCAAAGACACTTGGGCAGCTGTTAGCCAAACCCCGCCCCAACCTAACTATTGGAATTTGGCAGTATTTCAATAAAACTCTAATCAGATTTCTTATATAGAACACAATGAATTGTATTAGCTCTCAAGTGACTTCAGTCTAAATTCGCACAGTTGCACGGATATTGATGTGTATCAATTTAAATAGTCTATACCAAAACGTTTACAAATACTTTTATGATCTACTCTAGAAATTTATTTATTCAACACTAACTAATATCGCCTATTCGTTCTGGTGAAGCGGAAAAGGCCTTCGGCTTTTTGTTTGTCTCAAACGATATCAATTTGATTTATCAATAAGGCCAACTTTGATATCTACATAATATTATGTTTATACTAAGCATCGTAGCCACGTATTCGATCGCGATAGAAACACAGCTCTTGCTAGGTCAGAAGTTAGCAAAGTCTCTCCAGGCCGATCCCCGTCAGCCCGCCCGCCAGCCTGCTGAAACTAGAAAAGAATCTCGAGTCTAGTGGTAATTAGGTTGGTTAAAAAAATGTTAAAGTTAAATTTAAGTAACTTCTTCTTCTTCTTGGTGTCCACCTTATCCCACTAGGTGGGCACAGCCGTTTTTGAAGTGAAACTTCTAATGCGACTTCCAACAAGACGTTTAACGCTACCATACTAGAAAGAGCGAGAGTGAACGCGTGGCACTCGAACGCATGCGCGTAGTATACCTCTTACAGACCAGCGCGAGCATTAGCAACGAGTAGCGTCTAATATTTTAATGAAGTACATATATATATATATATTTTTTCTATCTATAATTTAAAAAATATTTACTATAAATGTTGAAGATGTATCTCTTATACACAACATTCTCTATTACTAGACCAATTAAGGATAAAAAATGAAGAAAACCACAATACTACAACATCGAAAAAGAAGTTTCACTTCATTCATGTGCGCTTTTTTTCTATTCTATTCTCTTCTATCAGCCGTCATCTCAACACTCACTCCTCTCTCTCTCTCATATCGTCATTCACACACTCTCATGTCATCTTCGGTCGACCTCTTCCCCCTCTACCTTGCACTACCATTTCCATATATCTCCTATTCACATGCACCTCTCTTCACATCACATGTCCATACCACGCTAACCGCTCTTTAATTTGTCAATCACCGGGGCTTCCTCTGATATACTCATTCCTTATCTTGTCCATTCTTATCACTCCACACATCCATCGCAACATTCGCATCTTTGCCGCATTTAATCTTCTTTCATGCTTTACTTTCGTAAAATTTAAGTAGCCACCGATAAAAAAACTCAAAATCTTGATAATACATATTTTATAAAATAAAAATCACACCATATGTCTTCACGAATCGTAAGATCTTATTCAAAATCACTTGGTATTTATTCGGTCCTGAGTGTGGTTGCTAAGTTTTTGTAATTCTATCAAAAATTTCAACGATTGATATTACACTAGATATAATCAACAATCTATCTGTTTTCTTATCACATGTAGAATTCGAAGCACTCGATGATAAGCGTCAGCACGAATACATGATGTGCTTATTAATGTATTTACTAGATGACCCAGTGAACTTCGTATCACCTACATACTATACGTTTTTGTATAAAATGGGATCAAAGTTTAATACAATTTTTTATTTTACTGTATTTAACTGTGTTTCATTTAATAATAAACAGTTAATCTTAATTAACCTTAATCAATTTAGTTTTCTAATATACTATATTTTTGGTCTTTTTTTGTGTAAATATACATATAAAGATGATGGTTTTCCCACTCGCGAATGTGGAACAGGAAAAATTCCAATTTGATTCCGAAAACCCGCAACGACTGGTCTTGCGATTTATTTATGGTAATGCCAGATGTACGGGATATTGTAGACGCTTAAAATCAAATAACAAATGTGTTGGAATTATCGGTATATATACCCGGGGTCAAAACATTCTTTCGTTTAGATGACCTCAATGACGTTGATAAGCTTTTTTACAGCCAGTCTCGTTCCATTGCACAGTCGAGGTTGATTGATGTTGCGCAGTATAATCACAACTGATCTTACTTTTAAATGCAATTCATGATAGTCCAGGCAAAGGAAATTTAAAAACTCGGTAGGATAGTTAACTACGTCATCATGGTTTGAAACTGTGTCAACTGATTTGTATGAAATTCTCCTGGAGTAAAGTTCAGCTTGTCGGATTGAATGATTAGCATCTTTGTTTTTGGCCGCCAATATTACTCGTTCACTCTGCCAAATTAGCTGGAATAGACTCTCGGGCTGTCAGCGAATAAACAGGCAAAAAAAGCTGCTAATTATGGTTTCTGAACTGTTGTTCTATATCCATAAAACACGCTAAACAAACTCCTCTTTTGAGTCGGTAAAGTGACAAAAATCTATGGCTAGTATAATTAATCCGGTTGAGATATCAACCGCGACCTTACCATTTTCAATATCTAATCACTGCTTCGAAACCATATAGCAAAAACACGCCCATATTAGTTGTTAAATGGTGTCTTTATATTCTGCCACAAACGTCTTTAGTTCGTCAGCAACTGTTGATCGGCAAATGATTGGAAGAGTCTGGCGAAAATCACCTGACAACGGAATCATGGCTCTACAAAAAAATATCTTTTAACGTTCTATCCAATGCCTCCAGTGACCTCGCCGTCGTAGATTTATTTTGGCGATGTTGCAGACTGGTGCTTCGTTGATTTGTATGTTTAGTGGTAATTTCAAGGCAGATTGTGCAATTCGACCTTTTACCAATGTTGCAGCTATTCCTGATGAAGCCAACGCTGGGGCTACATCATTTTACTATCTAATCTTTACCAACAGTAATAAAGTTAGGAACGTTTTTCCATACCCTCCTGGAGCAATATTATAGGAAGTAAATTAAAAAAAAAATGTTTTCGCATACTGACACAGTAATGATAGATTTCTATTGTTTAGATTTTCATTAAGAAAATTATTTATTTATTTCCTTTTTTTTGGACAACTAACTGACATTTTTATTAATTCGGAAACAGATCCGTTTTCAAATCTGACCAAAGTTATCGGACCTCATACTACAGTTATGAAACAAACAAATTTCTGAACGTACCTATAAATATTTGATAACCAAGTAGCAAAAGAATTCAAATCAATCACAGCTAGAAACCGTTTGTATTGGAAAATTAAATTGTTGTTTTTAGTATTTCCCTTTAATTATTATTTACTAGCTGACTCGGCAGACTTCGTAGTGCCTCAATCGATAAATAAAACACCTAAACTTTTGTATAAAATAAACTTAAAACAAACAAAAGGAATCCGTCCGACGGGGGACACATCAAAGGAAAAACAAAATTATTATTTTTCTTTAATTCAGAGCATTTTCATATTTATCTACGTTTTAAACCTTCTCTGGACTTCCACAAATAAGTCAAGACCAAAATTAGCCAAATCGGTCCAGCCGTTCTCGAGTTTTAGCGAGACTAACGAACAGCAATTCATTTTTATATATATAGATTAAATTTAAATTAGCCAAAACGGTTCAGCCCTTCTTGAGTTTTAGCGAGACAAGCGACAGCAATTCAGATATGTTTAAAGATACTGAGTCTGATTGGAGTGACGGAATAATCTGTAATGATTGATTGAGATTTTTAAAATCTAAATCCACAGATTCGGTAGAATCTGGCGCCAAGTTCCGTTCAAAAATCCCGTTGTAAACGGAGCGCCAGACTACCGACTGTGTTTACTGTGAGCAGAACAGTTTTTTGAGGTTGCGAAATTTTATTTAATTCTACGGTACTTCTGGTTCCTAAATTGTATATTATATCAATCACTCACAACTTTATTTTACTGATATTAACTAGTNTTTAAATTTTCAACAATTTTTTTTTAATTTTTTCATCTTTATGACGGTTTCTTGGTATTTTTTTGTATTTCACATATTTTTGTAGAGAATGAAAGCTATTGAAGTCTTCTTTTTTTTGTAAAGTGCAAATGTTATTGAGATGAGTTTTATAAACGTGGACTTGGCGCAATTTTTTACAGTGAAACTGTTTTTGTTCGGATCGCCATTACGCCATACGCCATTATCAGAATATTGTCGATATCTCTTGTCGATTCGAAACTTTTATTTAAATACGTTCTTTATTTTGAGGGGAGACTACCGTATCGATTACATAGATAACAAATACAGCTAATATGGATGACTCGACTGTATGAACATTAAATGTTTGATAGCCACGAAACACATGAACATTATGTATGGGAAAATCTTTGTAATTTGTTTTTCATCAATTTTCTTGAATTCTTAATAATCTTCTTAATTCTTAATAATTAATCTGTTATTCGGGACCGAGACAAACACAATAAATTAAAAACCATGAAAATCGGTCCAGCCGTTCTCGAGTTCGAAGTAAACGAACCCGACTTTGTTTATTTTTATTTTATTTTTATTGCCCTTGTAGGCAGACGAGCATACGGCCCACCTGGCGGTGAGTGGTTACCGTCACCCATGGACTTCAGCAATGCCAGGGGCAGAGTCAAGCCGCTGCCTACCGTTATTTATAATATAAGTTTACCCAATGAATGGTTTGAAATCTTGAATAGGATGTGGTCTACTCCTACATATACACTTACACACATATGCACAACCGGTACGTATTTATATACGTCATATCTTTATCATTTTGCGACACACATTTCAGCCGTGTCGATACGCACCAGTCGACTGTATTGGACACACGCACTGAAAACCAGTTTGTTGTGACGTCAGGTCGATACGTCGTTGCCCGGAGCACCGCACTGACATCAGTCAGAGCCTACCCGCATCACCTAACGCCTGTTTGCGCTTTTGTGTTTAACTTTGTGTTTTTTTTCCTACCTAAGCTGGTAGCCTTGAGAGGCTATGCCAGCGTAACCGATAGCGTAGCTGAGCTCACTGGGCTCTAACCAGAGGACGTTGCTAACGGTAGCCGTAGCAAGAGCAGTGCGTGGTAGAATCTACCACCGTATCGGAAACGCGACCCACTGAGAAGATCCGGCCAGAAACTCAGTGGGCTGTGTCTATGGGTTAATTTACTTGTCGAGCCATTCGTCGCAAACGACGTGACCTACGAGCACCGTTAATCGATCGGGAGGATCCGTAATGACGTGCTTACGGTGACGTCGATTATTTATCATTCGGTTCGCAGGATTGGGTATCTAGTTTCCGGCAACCACGACAAGAGAGTTTTCGTGTTGTGCCGCCTTCTCAAAGTGGCGCTCCGATGCCGACTGAAGATAATACTGATGGAGTCAAGCTCCAGATCATCATGTAGATCCACGTTCCTCACGAACCACGGTGCTCCAACGGCTATCCTGCAAAATCGGGATTGAATGACTGGAAGGGGCTCCAAATTAATGCGGACCGCGTGAGCGAACGTTACACTTGCATAGGTCATGACCGGGCGTATGCGACTTTTGTAGAATGTCACCTTATTACGAAGGGACAATTTACTTCGTTTACAAATCATCGGATAGAAGTTTTGTGCGTACGGCCTGTGACATTTCTACTGTGCTTGCTTCTGACAAAGTATTCCTTTTCTTTAATATAGGAGAGACTAATTTATAGTTCGAAGACTGTTTAGTGATATGGGCTCGCGTACGTACTACTATCCTAGCTATTTTCGCCGAAAAGTCCATAGTCATACAGTTCGGCTTGAAGGGCGGGATAGCCCAAATAGTATACGATTAAAAGTTAGAATATCTCATGCTTAGAGTAGAGAGTAGCGGCATTCACGTTGTAATGCCTACTTAACACCAAATAGGCCTTAAACACAAGTCTACGCAAAAAAAGCATTTGTTAATAGCATTACCCTAGCATTACCCTACATTAATAGCTATTAGTAGCTTTGCCGGTCTGCCGGTCAACTCTGCCAATGTCCTGTCCCAACCCCGGTTGAGAAAAGGGGAGGGTTGAGTTGGAGTTCGACCTTTCCACCGTAAAACAGTCAACGTCGAATGTCGGGCGGCGGTTAATTAGGTGGACCCAAATAAGGCTTCAGGGGCCTCTAAGAACTAAATTTCTTCCAAAAGCACTGCCGTTGAAGAACGCGGGAGCCCACCGTGTGTATTTCCGAAGAAAGCCATGTCATGAGGCCACGACTGACAGCATTGTGGATTATTGAGGCAAGGTTGTGTCGCTTTGGCGCAGTTGTTGTAAAAGCAGTCCAAGAGTCAGTTTAGGAGAGATAACTATATCGTGTTACGCCCACTATACACATGTCAATAATTCTATCTATCGTATTATTATCGTATTTCCTCCTAATGTTGAAATTCAGTTTAACGAAGGACTGATCGCCAATCACCACTTATCAGTGAGAGGATTAGCTTAATCTAGAATTGTTGTAAATTAACTTTGCTCGAATGATTATTCATTCGGGAGTAGTACTTTTATAGCACTATTTGGCCTACGAGGAAAATAATTTGAATAAAAACTAATTTCATGACAGCTGTAATTCGACTTTGAAACTGACTTTCACGGTATCGATAGTCAACTATTTCAAGATTTTTCGTCAATTATTGGCTGTTCTAATAAAACCAGTCGTTTTTATATTTACGATTACAAAGCTTTTTATAGATTTCAATGTGACTACCAAGACTACAATAAAACAAATAAAAATACTTTACAACGATAATATTTAGGTCTAAAAACGGAACATGTTTTAACCGTCCAAGAATTCGATTGTAATTCTATTGTATCTTGCGCGCGTTGATGCGTTAAATGTTTCTCAAACAACATCGGCCAGATTCGAGACTAGACTATTATATATGTATACAGCTATCCAACTATTTGACTTCTTCATCAAATTAATCTAGAAAACGACGAGACGGGGGCTATCTTCTGACAGATTGATCGATCTGAGCGTTTCGGACTCATCGTAAATCTATATAAGTATATATATAAATCAATTGCTGTTCCTTAGTCTCGCTAAAACTCGAGAACTGCTGGACCGATTTGGCTAATTTTGGTCTTGAATGATTTGTGGAAGTCCAGGGAAGGTTTGAAAGGTAAATAAATTTTGTTTTTCCTTTGATGTGTCCTCAGACGGACGGATTCCTTTTGTTTGTTTTAAGTCTATTTTATACAAAAGTTTTGGTTTTTCATTTATCGATTGAGGCACAACGAAGTCTGCCGGGTCAGCTAGTTTATTATAAATAAGTTTTTGCCAAATCTCTTGTATGCGGCGATAAATGGCGTTACAGTTCGATCTGCTGAGCAATTTCACTCGCTCGATAGAAAAACCGTCTCAGTGTCGATTCCTTTAGAGTTTAGACAGTCAGTCACGTATGAAATGTGTATATAAATAGCTTCTGTCAAAACGATGTAAGAAAGATGTTAATACAAATGGTAGTTATAGCCTTTTTCTGTCTTGTCTATAGACAGCGCACAAAAGCGTGATAAATGTAGAGCTGTAAAGGACTCGGAAACTAAGCAGTTTAGTTAGGAAATCCCTATCTTAGGGACTTTGGTGCTGTAAGGTTCTCAGGAATATCAAGAAACTGATCGACTTCCTAGAAGAGGAGAAAGCCCCCTTCATCGACTAACCCTTACCTGCAAAAGGTATGGACGTAAGTAGACTGATCTCTCTCATTCCTAACTTCAAGTCACATGCCGCAGCCGGGACGATGACACAGAAGCCGAGCAAATCCAGGATCGACGCTAAGTGAATGGTGCTACTAACCAGTAACACCATTATGTTGTACCGCCCGTGACCTGTAAAACAATAAACGTAAATACAGCCTAGACCAGTGCTTCCCAAACTTTTTTTGTGCCCCACTGTAACATTTCTAAAATTTTTATGCACACCGTACATAATTTTTAACATTAAAAAAATGATTCGTTCACTTCAGAAACATAAATGATAGGTTTTTAGAAAAAATCACTATGAAATCGTAATAAAAACACAGTAAGTAATATTTCAAAACATATAATAAAATACTCAAATTCAAATTTATAATACATAATTGTAATACAGTTTTTCTATGTTAATTTAGTGAGATTGCCTCCTTAATTAACAAATGGCTCCCTTTTGTGGGCGTGGGCCTCACGTTAGGAGAAACCAGCCTAGACTGTCTCGGTTAGCGCCCCTGTTGCACCAAGGGTCGTGGATTCAATTCCCACATCGGGCAATCACTCGTTTAATAAACAGGTATATTTTGATCTTTGTTCACGTTTTTATTATCTATATACCTACTAGCTAATCCGAGAAACGTTGTTTTGTCATATACATATAAGATTTCTAGGGAATTTTTAGTGTAGAAAAAAAAAACTTATTGTAAGTGTGTAAGGAGGTGGTAAATGAGTGAAAGAGGCATGTAGCGCTGTGAACGATGAGGGAATATAAAAATAACAAAACCTCATTCAACCACATAATGCCCAATTATAACAAACAAAAAATTGACCAAAAAATAAAAAATAAATGTTAGGGGTGGACAACCCTTATCACTTAGGAGTATGAAAAATAGATAGTGGCCGATTCTCAGACCTACTGAACATGCATATAAATTTTCATGAACCTCGGTCAAACCGTTTCAGAGAAGTATAGTTACGCGGACGACGTTGTGACGCGAGAATTTTATATATAAGAAGTACATATATGTTTAAACGTATATAATTATGTATTTCGGTCTCTGGTACACATAATACAGAGAATATTTAATTACGGGCGGATGACCGTGCGTAATTTGTTATCAGCTATTTAACGTATATTTAAATATAGATTACATTTTACGTTTCAACCCGCGCTTCCCCGTACTCATAGCGTTCAAAATAATGCGTAACAACAAAGAGATGTATTTACTTAGTTACTATTTATTTATTAAATTAGCAAGATAAAACTGTCATTCTACCATAGTTAATATTTTTTTTACTATACGCTATTGTGACGTGAAAATGTTCAAAATATGTTTAATGCTTATATTATTATTTGACAACACAAATGATTGTCAAAATAATCAAAGCATAAAATATTAATAACTAGCTGTACCCGTCCGCTTCGCTGGGCATTTAAAATTAATATTATTGTTTCTCATCCCCACAAAGATTCTCATCATTAACGCCCCCGCAACTGGTGTAGGGAGTCCAACACTCATATAAATATTAGCCTATCCATTAAGTACATGTATTTTCTACATGGATACCAAGTTTTAAGTTAATCGGATGCATGGTTCAGTAGTTATAAACGGAACATCCGTAAAAACCACTGTAGATTTATATAGTAGTATAGATAAGCTAGGTTATAATTAACATTAATAATTTGATTGAGTATTGTAATTCTTAAGCAAATCATGTTATTGGCGCCATCTTTATTATTACGCTGGATAATAAATAATTAACGTCAGAGTCATGTAAAAATCACTAAACTATTTAATGTGAATATTAAGCTACATTTTATGAATTGTTTCACAGTAATTCCATTTCTTTATATAACAGAAGTTGAAGTTGTTATTACAAACACAAGATGGCCAATTGTGTAAAAACTAAGACGTGGCTTTTTGTAATAAACAAATAATGTTAACGTTTTAAAGAATTGTAATCTAATTACATTGTAATAGATCATAAGTTTGAAAAGCCTAGCATAACGCCGACATATGTTATCTTCATTCGGTCTACAAGAAATAAAAGCAAAATAATCTCCTTGACTAGATAATGTGTATGTCGCTACGTTTTATCAAAAGTCCAGCCTTGAGCACATGCCCAAATCGACCTCGTTGTTTTAATATTTGCAAGACTACCAATGGTAAAATGAACTAGTCTATTTAATATACGTCCTTGTACCTAAATGCGCGTTTTTTTTTATTTTTTTATTGCTTAGATGGGTGTACAACCTCACAGCCCACCTGGTGTTAAGTAGTTACTGGAGCCCATAGATATGTATAACGTAAATGCGCCGCCCACCTTGAGATATAGGTTCTAAGGTCTCAGTATAGTTACAGGGGCTGCCCCACCCTTCAAACCGAAACGCATTACTGCTTCACGGCAGAAATAGGCAGGGTGGTGGTACCTACCCGTGCAGACTCACAAGAGGTCCTACCACCAGTGTAGTGGGTATGCAGCTTCAGTTCCTCACTTGCCCTAGACACGTCCTTACGGATCCATCAGATCCAACAACCTTTGCATTAGACGCCTTCAGCTCTAACACTAGGAGCAGGTTTAGGAACCCCGATAACCGTACTCGTCGAGCTCTACAGAAAGGTCGACGTGCAACCTAACCCATGTATCAGCTCGCTGAGTTTCTCGCCGGATCTTCTCAGTGGATCGCGTTTCCGATCCGGTAGTAAATTCATTCGCGAAGCAGTTGCTCTTGAGTTGTTAGGTCTCCTACGGAGGCGCTCGGGCAGCTGTTAGCAAATCCCACCGTGAGCTGAGCTTTTGCTCGCCCACCTGTCCTGGTGAAACTGGAAAGGCCTCCGGGCCACAAGTAATCCTCGGATTACTATTGATAATATCATGTATATTATATAGTATACATAAAAAATTCGAAATCACTATGAACGGAATTATTTCATCAAAAATCCTATTAATTGAGCTTACAGCTTTAGAATTTTGTTTTATCATTTAAAGACGTTTTGCTTATACCTATTAATTATAAAAAGAAGTGAAATTTAATTCGACTCAAACACATTGGGTTACTTCGTGTTACTTCCACCAAAGGAGGACCTATTTTGAAGCATATATTTCATTATTCATTAAATATACTAAAAAACTGGGTTCACCTGTTAGTGTTATTTCATTTTCTATGAAATATCGTATGAATACCATTTATTTCTTTTATATATATTGTACTATTTAGATTTTTAGTCAGTTCCTAATTCTAAATAGTAATCACGAAAAACAGAAATCGTAATAACATTACAGCGGTACATATAGATCGTAATGTATAACAATATAATTAAATGCTCTGTCTGAAATTTTAATGAAAGCTGCAATTCGTCAGGGGTGTTTTGAGCTTTCACTATCTCATAATTAACTTGCCATCATTATAAGTATCTCGACAGTCTGTCACAGGTATTTGTTTATATATTGAAAAAAAAAACATTCTTTTCACCTATCACACATCTCACACTTATATAGAATATAGGATAGGAAATAGGAAATAGGTGGGGTGGTGGTACCTACCCGTGCGGACTCCCAAGAGGTCCTACCACCAGTAAATGGGCTAAGGTAGGGTATTATCATTAGTAGCGCATGTCGACATCGTCCAAAACGATTACAATTACGGATCCTCCCGATCCATTAACGGTGCTTTTAGGTACCACAAGCACCGGTCACCGTCCTCGTCGAACCCGTCGCTTGCGACGAAGGACTCGACCAGCGAATTAACCCATAGACGCAGCCCGCTGAGTTTCTCGCCGGATCTTCTCAGTGGGTCGCGTTTCCGATCCGGTGGTAGGTTCTGCGAAGCACTGCTCTTGCTAGGGCCAGTGTTAGCAACACTCCGGTTTGAGCCTCGTGAGCTCACCTTCACGTTAGGGCGAAGGTGATATAGCCTCTCAAGGCCATTAGCATAGGTAAGATAAAAAAACGGCTCTATCTAGGCCTAGTGTTAGCAATTCTCTCAGGTTGAACGCGGTAACGGTTCGCGCGAAGTTGGAATAGCCCCTTAGGCTACCAACGATTAGGTAAGAAAAAAAAGCAATACGTTTTTACATAGACTTTATCTATAATCCGGAAACTATGTACTTTGTTCCTGCGAAGCGTGTTTCATTATTTGATAAAAATAAAATGTCAATGACTTGCAAAAATTACAAGAGTAGTATAATAATATTCAAGAAAAAACGTACTTGTAATGCTTAAAGGCATTCATTCACGCTCGTCTGGCGTAGAATTTGTTCGCTAGAAACTTGTTTAAATTTTATGCTTAATGTATTGTATAAATATGTTCGACTATAAGTACAGTTGTATGAGACAGAGAATGACTTAGTATATACATATGTAGAACACATAGCTATAGACTGTAGCCATGTAGAACGATAATAGTTCCGTTTTTATTGTATTTCATGTACATATGTTCATTTTTTTATGTATATTTTTTAATCCCTTTGTTTTCAATGCTAATTTCAATAATCGGTGACACCGTAAATATGCTTTATGGTCTTAAGTTTATATTATTATTTTTTTACAACTAGATAGATTTCTAGATAGATCTAGACAACTAGATTTACAATAATATTATTTTTTACAACTAGATACTGATAAAAGATTATATATATTGTGTTTTGAATGATGATAATTATTTCCGTGTTTAAAGCTTATAAAATATTATACATACTTATTTTCGTTAACAGAGATTTGTTTTGTAGACAATCTTGTAACTATTGTTGATCGAAGACTGTCTTCTTCTGAAAAATTCAACAACTGACCTGGTCTTCCTCTGTTAGAGTCATTAGAAATGTGCTCTCTGACATTAGGTATTTTTTTTAAATTCGATTACGCAATAGACCTTAAATACGTGCTACATAATAAAATAGCTAACATCTTGTGTAATGCTCTCGGTTGACCTTGGGTATATTGTGTATCGAATACGAAGGAGAAACTATTGACAAATCGTATTACGTAGCTAGCTTTAGGAGTGGCTCTAACTACATGTCACTACGACTACATACGCAATACGCTATTGTCAGCTTTTTCAGTACACATTAAGTACCCTATATTGAATTCCATTCACTTCAAAACTCCTTACGTTAGGTCACTTGTCTTTTAGTAACTTCTTAATTAAACGTCTTCTTCTTTTAAATTTATAGGCTGCTATCAATAAAAAAATGGAAATGATCTGTTTATTTTTTCCAAATGTGAATCACAAAACAAGGCGTAGAATTAATCTAAGCATTGAGGTTGCAGAGATAACCGTCAAGAATCGATCATAACACCAACCCTATATAATATAACATTATGATGAACATTTTGAGTATGATGTAATAGATAATGAATGGATATTTTGACAAGAACGCTCGTACGATATTCAAATTACAAATTGGAACGTTTTTGGCAACGAATATTGTTACGCCAAAGACCGACGGTTTTAAGAGAATGTCGGCTATTTTTGTCAACTTTATCCGCTTTGTATTGCGTATTGACAAAATATAATTGTAACGAGAAGAATTGCTATTTTTCTTTTCTGTAGCAACCCTGGGACAGATGTCTGATAGTTCTAGGCGTCAGTCAGACTGAGAAAAATATAAATTTCGTGGCGCCTTTTGTGCGGAGCCGGCCTGAATGAAGATGACAATACAAATAATCACAGCTGTGCGACGCCGCCCAGCCTTGCGCGTTACATCGCCGCAGCTTTAAGCTTCTTTCAGACTGCGCTATAATAATATATATAATAGCATATACTCGTGGTATATAGCTCATAGCACAACAATATCGCGCACCATACACTGTTATGGACACGTTCACACTTTCTACTACGTATTATTCGTACTATATATTACCTATTGACTAAGTATACGCTGCTATACTATATGACACTATAGTATAGCGTAGTTAGAAAGCAGTTTGAACGTTTTTATGTAGTTCAAAACACCTTAATATGTCATATTGAATACGTAAAAGTCAATATTCACCCTTCTTTTTTTTTTAGAAAAAGTATAACAGTGTGAAAACATTGACCAAAAGACAGCGAAAGACAATTTTTATTTAATTTAATTATTTTTTTATTGCTTATTGAAGACATGAGTATTGGCGTGGACGAGCTTATGTCCCGTCTGGTTTCAAGTGCTACCTCAATAACTACCGGCCCTGTTAGAGGAAATATTATTGTTCATAGAACCCGTTCTGATAAAATGTTTTAAGCCAGAAAGTAGAACGTTGAAAGAATATGAGCTACCTTTCACCCCACTCTACTGAGCAAGGATATAAAGTAATTCACGGAGACTAAATTGCCGACGGAAATCTAATTCGATATTAAAAAACAAACTTACCAGCAATATCTAGAACTTTTTCGAGTTCCGACTCCATTGTAATATTAACTTATATAAGAACAGCAATGAAAATTCTTGTTCGTATTCTCAACTTCTCCAGCGTACTGAAGTCTATAAAATTATTTGTTTGTAATGAAGTTTCAATCTGTATTGATAAAACATTAAATTTACATTAAAATGGTGGATTACATGTGTGTATGTATACATTATATGTGTGTGTATAATGTGTTTAGAACTGCCATTGACGTGTATAAAACATGAATGTCTATCTGTATTTTATGAATTACAAATGAATATTGTTCGTAAACACAAGCTCATCGTACTACAGTCCCGAGCGAGTATGACTTTATGAGAATTTATTTTATAGCTGTAATAATATTGCGTAGCAATAATATTGTGTTGTTCTGACTGAATTTATTTGAATTAATATTTGATCTATATAAATTTACAGAGCGTTTAGCTAAAAAAAAATGTAATTCAAACGGTAAACAAATTTTTTAATTAATTGGAACTATGTATTTAATTAGCTACATATCTGAATATTAAAACTAAAAACGTCCTTACCTTATGTTTAATTTGAAAACGTTTCAGCCGAAAAATAAGAACGTTTAAAAAACAAATTCATTAATTAGATTAGAGGCACCACTTTTAGAAGCACAACAAACGATTTACGTGCCTATAGAATGAATTGAAACATTATCGAAAAAGTCATGTGAAAAATACGAGCGAACCTTGAACACGACCGTTTCCGTGGAGACACGTAAACGTATTGCCGCCCGCCGTCACACGCCACGGTCACAGCTGGTCAGTGAACTAATCTTTTGGCCGGCATCATTACATGTTTTATCTCGTAAAATCCATATTCTAATGAATACCTAAAAAATCTATAGAATATACAAGGCATTCCAAACAATATCAAATTCAGCCGTCGCTTTAGCCTACCAGCGAATAGAGGGGGGAAAATTCACGTTCAGCTGGCAATAATATTAAGGTTGACTATCGTTTTATTTATGGCGGTTCTGGTGTGAGCGAGACCTACATTCTTATCATTCTCATCTCTCATTCATGAGTCATGGCTGCCTCTTAAAATTGAATAATTAATAGAATTTGTGTATGACGTATGGTTCCATGGTTCCATGGTTCCATGGTGTTTTTAAAATTATGACGTCGCCATTCTCTTCATCATTATCCTTGCCTTCTATTTACAGTAATTAAGAATCACTTTTCCAATGAATTTCAGTTATTACACTTCAAGTATACAACGATAGGTAATAGCAAAGAGCTCCGCTTTGCTCGAAATGTTCGAATTTTTTATGACTTGCACAAAACATTCCGGCTCGTATTTAAAGTCACTTGTATTTATAGTAGAAAGCGAGGCAGCTTAGTCATGAGTCCTCTTGGATATCGCCTTAAGCAGTTGTTGACATGCGTAACATAACAACATTGCGTAAGGAAACAGTTAACTGTAACTATTTTTTGTTAATTAAATAGTGACGCTGCGCCGACATATACTAAAAGTAAATTTAACAAAAAAAAATATATATACAAATGAGACAGAAAAAACATTACACAATACCTAATTTAAAATAATATGTACAACAAACTTCTGTTGTTTGGCTCCTATCAAGTAGTTAACTATATGTTATTAAAATTTTCGGTCCATTTTCAAGTGCAATTTTGATTTTATTAAAAAGCTTGAGGTATAAAAATGAACAATTTCCTTTAAATGAAAAGCGACTCATTATTTTGCCTATACCTATGTATATGTCTATGCAGTACTTACATACATATATTTGAATGTAATTGTAACTTGTTTAATGGTCGAAGATTTTCCTTAATTTGGATTAAGGATTTATTTTGCCTTAAATTACTTGATTTATTGCCTACAGAACCCCCGTATTGTATTCGTAATATAGCGGCGTGCTATTCTGGCACAAAGACTATTAACATTTACAGTCAAATCTGGGTAAGTGAGAACTGGATGAGTAAGAAAACTCTATAAGTGAGAGTAATAGCCAGGACCCGTCATTTTAAGCTCCCAAAACTTTTAATAGCGAGAAACAGAAATCTTTGTAAGAGAGAGTCGTTTTTTCCTCATGGACCTCCGTAAGTGAGACTGCTACTTATCTATACCTCTATAAGCGACAGTCGAGCTTTATTTCTTTATATTATTTAGGAGGAACAAATGACAAAACAAATTACAAATTTAACATCTGCTATTTTATGACTCATTCTTATCTTTCGTGGAACTTCCTACCATTGTTTTTGTATTGTTTTGCACGTCAATATTGAACCTATTCTATTTCGTGGAACTAAATTACGTTGTTAATTTATCGCATTCGGTTCGAATGGACACGTGTGCCTGTGTACCGTCCTGTTTGTCGGACTTACTCAATTTATCGTTAATCAATTGCGAAGGAAAGTTCTGTTCTGCATCATGTCAAAACGGAAAATTAAATTACTGTCATTAAGTGATAAACTTAAAATAGTGAATGCGTTTGAATCCGGAAAATCGCGAAATGAAATTCAGAGGGAGCATTAGCGAAGAAACTCGGGTTAGTGAGAAACCTCTATAAGCGAGAATGAGATTGTGCTCCCTTGAACTCTCGCTTATCCAGGTTTGACTGTATTTATAGTAAACAAAGTAGTAGTAGTCATAGCTTTATATGTCTGAATTATGCATGTGTCGTGTAAAAATTGTTCCGAAATCCGAAGCGGTAATAATTAAGGATGCTAGTAGTGCCTGCGGTTTCACCTGTGTTCGATTTGTAATTCAGAAGGAATTAAGCAGGCTGGTCGTTTTCCTGGAATAAGTTAAATAAAGAGTTTGCTTGTGTAACTCGTTAGCCCATAAACTACCAGTCAGTTTGTAGATTACATACTTTTCCCACCCCGGTTTTTATATATGTAATTATTTTATATACCTAGTTAATTTGAATTTCCTTTCGGATTTAACTAAAGCGAAGGTGATTTTGTGACACGTGAAATAGTTTACGAAATTTTTAATCCAAAAAATACCTCTTAATGTTACCGTATCGGGGAATCACCGGCACCAATAACCAATCTTTACTTTCATGAATGGCTTGTTTACTAACGAAATCCTTACTTAGAACGAGAAATGATTATTTGTTACCTTTATAAACCAGTCCAACATTAAAATTAAATCGATCATTTTCCTTAAGCCTGTCCTTTAAAACTGGTGTAATAAAAATTATAACCCGTAAGAGAATTGTTTATTATTAATAATATCATAAAATACTCGATCAAAGTAACGAAATTACTGGAACTATAAATTTCAAGAGCGTGACGTCATTTGGTTGATAATAATTATTAATTTTAAGCAGATATTTCTTATGTAACTGGACTTTGAGTTCTCGACGTCCGTTTGTTATGGTGCAAATCAATTGACTTTGTTTATAGAAGACGATCATTTTTATTGGCTCGTTCCAATTCTATTGTCTAAATTAGTATGTAGTTGTACCTATTTATGCGTTCGGCTTATGTAATGAAATGTTTAAAAAGTTAATATTTAAGATATTTTTCTGTTCTATACATTTCAACTAATTATTCAGATAATTCTACCTATCGGCACGCTCCTGTTTAGTTAAATATTGGCAGGCAATTCAAGCCCGGGCAGAGAGGGTTACCCCGAGGCCGGTTTCGCGCCCCGTAAGGGGACGCCTTAGATATTACACGTAAATTAGTTATAGAACTTATAGATTAGCAACTCAGCACTCAACAAAAATGTTTACGGGCGTCGGCCACTAGATGGCTTCGTTTCGATTAGTTTCTCATTGCTCCTGTAGATAGCAGTAACAAATTAACTATATTATATTAAGTTATTTTTAATGAAGGATTTTGCAAATTTTCAGAATAAAATTTTATCAATTTTTCTATAACAAATAAAGACTTGTATGATTTTTTTTTTCTGTGTTTAGTTATACAATAATTAAATGCCTTAACTTTAACAACATATACTTAGTCTGGCCATAAATACTGTTACATTAAAAATAAACAAAATGTTACATTTGAATTTGGAATCTGTCATTTTTATATGATTGCTCATTGAGTTTTCTCATTTTGGCGCCAATACATTGTACAATATTTTGCGATATTAAAATGGAGTGGGGTAATAAAGAGAACCGAATCGCTGTGATTGCATTACACAAAATAGGTATGGAGCCAAATGCAATTTTTAAAACTCTCCATACGCTTTCTAACGCCGCGCTCTTTCATGTCACACAAATTGACTTGTCCGACGCTCTTTGATGCAACATATTCCCCAAACCATAGCGCCTTTCCATAGCAGTGTAAAAAATTTTAAAGTATTAAGATGTCGAGTGATTCAGATGTGGAAGAATTGTTACTTTTACATAGGCGGCACTGTAAACTTCGGGAATTAACGAAGTGACACAACATTACTATTTAAAAATGTATTTATTGCTTTTCGAAGTATTCTCCGCGAAATTTGACACATTTTTCCATACGATGGAACCAATCATTGAAGCAACCATTCCATTCGGAAGTTGGGGTCTCCAAAATGGCCGTTTTGTAGACGTCCACAGCTTCTTCAGGTGATGAAAATCTCTG